TCAAGCTAGCATAAAAACATTCTAATTCTTTGTGAGAAGAAAATGCAAACAGACATTTTAAGTTGTCTAGTAAACTGATCTGTAATTTGAGAATCACTTCCTTCAAACTAGGTTATCACCATCTATAGATCATTTTAACTATAGTTCCAAAGCTCCTTTGTGTGCAAACAGAAATCTGCTCATTAAAAGTGTAATTTGCACCCTGGTCACATACTCGGAGCACACAATAGATGTGGTTAGCAGTCAAATCGCCAGCAACCTTGTAGAAAGAGCAAATGGCAAGCTAATTAGCAAACGTTCAGACCTCAAAACCAAGCTGTAGACAAGGTGATGGACATGAGTAGCCACAGACACGTCATGCCAAACATTGATGGTAAAACTCCTAATGGGTCATCTTAATTACGGGTGTATGTAGAGGCTTGTGTACTGTGATCTTCTGTGCACTGTGCTATCCAATTATCTGATTTCTCTGACGTCTAACATAAATTGAACTTTTATTCAATAAAACTTAAACTGTCTCAACTGAGTTGATGGTTTTTCTGAAAAGAAAAGAGAAACAGAAAATATTTGTATGTGATTTTACAGATATCGGCTATAGAGGCAAAATTCATTTGAACGGCATGTGTAAATGTGTATTAAAACCTCAGATGAAAAAGGTTTTTGGATTTTGACGGCTGGAATTTTAAGAAAATCTAATGTTTTTTACTGGCGCGGGAAAAACAGAAACTAACTTCCAGTCTAAGCCCTGGGCAGCTGGTGACTTCACAAAGTGCTCTGCTGAAACAGCGATAGTAAACAACGCCTGACTTCGGTGTGTCTGCGTTAGCGTTATAGCAGAGAATAATGTGTCATCAATCAGATGTAGCTTCTGAAGCCTCTGCTAGTCAGTCAGATTTGTTTTTTCTCTGGGATACGGCGACAAGAACGGATATTGAATTGCCGGAGAAATTCAACCGAACTCCGACCCCGCCAGCTGGATATCACTACTGGAGGTGCAGATATGTTTTAGACCGTTTGACTCAGAAGACCTGCGACCCAATTTGGACATAGAGGAGGATTCTGTTCATCTTCAGAACCAAAATCGGTACAGTTTGTTTACTTTTGTTAAATATTTCATTTCTGTGCTCCACTGGGAGCTCTAAACTGACAAATTCTCAGCTGGTCTTAGCGCCATCATGTGTCCCAATATAGTTCAGTAATCTACAGTTTTACTGCTGTGTGTACTTATTGATTATAACTCTGGAAAATATTTAACTGATAATTTACCAGAATAAATATTCCTGATGCTGGATTAACCAGACTAAAGACCAAAGGTGACAGATCATTTGCTGCTGTGGCCCCCAGACTCTGGAACTCTCTCCCCCTGAGCCTGAGATCAGTGGACTCAGTGGTCTCCTTTAAAAAGCAGCTGAAGACTCACTTGTTCAAGCTGGCTTTTGTATGACCTTCTTCACCACTCTCTCTTTATTCTGCTCTCCCCACCTATTCCACCTTCCTCAGGATCCACTGATTTCCCTGTTTCCTGTTCACTCTCTCTCTTTCTTAACATTTTTTAATCACAATTGCCTATTTTTGCTCATTTAAAATATATTTTTAAACATTTTCTAAATGCTTTTTTATATATTTACATTTTTTTGTTTTGTGAAGCGCCTCATGATTTTTATCTTGAGAGGCGCTATAGAAATGATATTTTCTTCTTCTTCTTCTTCTATGTTATTTAAAAATGCGTGTAGGACACAGACATATGGTTCAGACCTTTTGCTGCAGCTATAAACGCAATTTTACGTAATAATTATGCGCATGAAAGTAAACAAATAACAGTTATTGAGTTCGAGTGACATATGCAAAACAGTTCTTCACTGTCTGGAGTAGAGGATTTGGATTTTCTGCAATGATTTATGATAAAAGTCCTTAACAAAATGAAAAACTTAACCCAGTACATGTTTACATAGATGGTAAAGTGTAGTTATTCTGCATTTGTACAATTTTAATGCCGAGTCTGGCCAATACCTTTAAAGAAAAACTATGAAAGAAAACAGACTGCTTTAAGCAAAAAGTGAAAAATGATTTGTGTGTGTGTGTGTGTGTGTGTGTGTGTGTGTGTGTGTGTGTGTGTGTGTGTGTGAGTGCGTGCGTGCGTGCGTGCGTGCGTGCGTGTGTGTGTGTGTGTGTGTGTGTGTGCGTGCCTGCATGTGTGTGTGTGTCGAGGGTTGTTGTTGCAAGCTTAGATATGTAAATGCATTGATGGTGTAAATAATCAATATACATACACGCATCTAACAGAGAACAACTTGAAAAATGGTGATGTGGCTTTAAAGCACTCCTTCCTACATCAATACCTCTGATTACCATCCAGTTTTTATTCTCTAAATCAATATTTTCACACTAAAATGAGAAAGCAACAGGGGTACCTTGAGCATTTCTGAACATGGATTAGAAACGTTACATGAATTCTGACTTTCAAAAGCTTGTTTACCCACTCTCAGCCCTAAACCGACCAGGCCGCAGTCGCACATTGATGAGAGGCGTTTTTCTGTCAAGGTCTTGTAGCTGGCTGCACCCAATGTTTCTGTCAACTCCTGCATCTGTCTGCTGGTACGTCATGTGTAAAGGTCAAGCTGGTTTCTCCACTTCTCAAAGTGGGGGAAAGAAATCCCACCGAAAGATTTCTGCAGATGTCAAATATATGAGCTGCAATAGCAAAGGGGGGTCAAGCAGGAAGTCGAATAATTTACTGCCAGGTCTGAATAAGATACTCTGAAGTTGTATGATCACATGTAAACGTGAAAAAAAGACAAGAAATGATGAAATCAATATCTTCACATAACTCAGGCCAGTGATGTTTTTGAGATCACCTCAGTATCCAATAACATCTAACGGAGTTTCTGTGGGAGCAGAGGGAGTTTAATTTCTCTCATTGCAGACGTGACTCTGTAAAACAGAGTGGGCTAAATAAAGGAAGAGGAGAGGAACGTGGGAGTAGTGAGAGAGAAAAAGCAAGATAATAAGATTAAGAAGGAAATTACAAGGACCAAGAGGGGTGTACGGAAGGTATTGGGAAACAGATTGTGATAGAGAGGCAGCAGGGGTGATGCTGAAGGAGGAAACAGAAGGAAATGGAAATGCAGAGTGGGAGTGCAAGAAAAATGAACACGCTGGAGAAACGGGGGAGGACTGAATGGATGATGGGCCTTCGTGTTGATATAATCGGCCAGAAAATAATAACACAAGTGACTGAGTAAGAAAACCTCATTTCACATAATGAGTATTCTAATCAAGAGATTACTTTATCTCACATGACAGAGCCGAGGGGCAGGGGAGCCACTGGCAGATGCATGTTGGCAGTGGTCACTTCCTGGGGATCGGCTTCATGCCACCGATGACTGTACGCACACAGCAGAGCAATTACAGTACATGCCTATGCATGACTAAACCCTCCAAACACACACAGCACAAAAACACACTACTGAATTGGTGATTTTGTGGATGCCAGCTGGAAAAATATCAAGTTACTGGAAGCTTTTTCTGTATGTATGTGTGTGCGTGCTAGCGAGCGCGCGTGCGTGCGTGTGTGTGTGTGTCAAATTTACAAAGAAAACACGTTCTCTGCTTTTATATTTTTCATTTTTATGATCAGTAAAAACACTTTGCTATCTGTTACCAAGGCAACAATCAACATAGAATGAACCTTGTGAAATAGCGTGTTTTCTCACCTACAATCTCTGTGTCCTGTTTTGCGTTATGATCCTGTAAATGTGAATGGATACTTGAGTGCCAGCCCATCAATGCACTGACAAAATATCTCCTGAGAAAGAGTGTCTCGCCATATTTTTGGGTATAAACACCCAGACACACATTCACTACTTGCGACGAGAGCAACAGCTGTCGCAGATTTTCCTCTGAGAGTCACCACAGGGTCAATTTAACAGCTGTTCATCTCCCTCAGCCAATCAATCAGGAGGGAGAGAGAGAGAGAGAGAGAGAGAGAGAGAGCGAGAGAGAGAGAGAGAGAGAGAGAGAGGAAGAAAGAGAGAGAGAGGAGGGGGTCAACAACCATGCATAAATACACGCCAATTAAAGAGCTTAAGATTAATCCAAACAAATCAAGCCTTCAATGTCTTTTTGTGTCACCACATTCATTTTTAAACACAGCTACTCCCTATTTTACTGAAAAGATTACATGTAAGACTTGTTTTTATTTCACAAAAGCTTTAAAATTAGACTGCAGCCTCACGGATTTAATAAAAACTGCATTCAAATGCAGAAGCGACAACGAAAAGTAGTGCTTCTGCTTCCACAGAACTGATGATGACGAGCAGCAGCCAGGTGCTGCTTATGTAATGCACTTGATTAACTGATCATCAGTAAGTGTAATCACCTCTAAATTCTGGAAGTGTTCTGAAGTGTTCAGGTGTGCAGCTCAACGCCGAGGAGCACATACAATGGGCAATGACCTCGGGGAAGCAAATGCTTATGTCCATCAATCTAGGAAGGATTCTGAGGACATCTAACAGTGTAGAGTCTATCACGCTACGGTGAGAAATGTTATTCACAAGTGGAAAATATTTAAGAAGGTTGTCAATCTTCCCAGGAGTGAGCGTCCTAGCATGTTCCTTCCAAGGTCAGACTCTGCAGCATTCAGAGGAAGTGCAGAAACTGAACAGTTACATCTCACACTCTGGAAACCACCGCGTGTTTAATGTCAGAGTTCATGACGGCACAATTAGAGATAGATGGAACAAGTATGGCTGCTCTGGGAGGGCAACAAGGCGAGTCTATATCCTCTAAAAAGAAACAGAGCAGCATTTGGACAAACCATGGGATTCCAGGAAAAAAGCTACTTCAAACAAGTGAAACAAAGCAGGTGAGATTTGATCATTAATACAGAAAATTGGTCACAGTATTGATGTAAAAATGTGTTGTTACAAATTACTAGTGCAGGTTAGGTTCAGACATCACAACACATCTGTATATTGTTCCAGCTGTTCAGCAAATCATACCTGCAGCACGGCCTGGATTTTAGCTGAAACATCAGCCTGCTCATACAGCTTGATGTCCTCTTCGTGCTTTCCACCTGGACCGTGCACAGCAATCTGCTGCATGTGGGCCAGCACCACACTGTGAGCCTGGGCCACCGCCTTGAACTTGTCAAACAGCAGCTCCAACAGTTCCAGCAGCAGCCTGCAGAGGGAGGCAGAGCGGTCAGAAAGAGGAAGAAATGCAGAGGGGGAGAAAGTAAAGGGAGATTCAGCTGGGGGGAAATCAACTGTTCAGACAAAATGACAAAACAAATAAATGTTGTGATTTATTTCTCTTGTTTTAAATGTATAGTTATTATATTCATAATATGTTACCAGGACTTTATTACAAGAGTGATAGGACTCATTATCATAGATGAAAAAAAAAAACAGACCAGTATGAAATTAAATCACATAAACCTATAGTCAGCAATTTATCTTGTCACAGTGACCATAAAAGGAGACAACATCCTACATTAGCCTTCTATATTAAATCGAAATATGACAGTTCGTGTGACGCTTTCTGCCAAGTCTCGAAAAAAAAGTGTTGCGTCTTTATTGCCATAAAGGGGAACTGGCCCAAAATGTTTTAATAGCAGCATTTGACATTACCAACTGCAGTTCCCTGTTTTACTTTGCAGCTCCCTCTACGGCAGCTTTAATATTTCACCTGCATTAATGACCCATCACCTGGTCTGGCTGCTGTAAAAACCCGTAAACTGCCCAACACGGATTCAAATAAAAAGCCATTCTCATTAGTTCCTAATGGCTCCAGCTGAAGACGAGAGCACAACCAATACCAAACCGACCTTCCACTTGATCCGAGTATTCAGCCCTGGCTTGAAAACTCACAGGAGCTTCATCTAGTCTAATGCTTTCATCCAGACTATGCTTTTTGCACAAGGACAGAGCTTTCAAAGTAAAGAAGGAACACAGATTGCATTAGTTGAGTCTAATCACAGTCAGTTCCCGCTTTATTTTCATAAAGATATTACAGTTAATACACAAATCATAACACTGCTTGTTTAACATCACTCTTATCACCATCCTTTTATCTATAGATTGCATTCAGCTGGTATGATATCTGCCCTGACTGGAAGCAAAATGGTGTTAAGACGTTTATTACACACGTGTCAACATTCTGCTGTCTTTACCCTCACTTGACTCTTCAACCAGAAGCCAGGGGGTCGGGGTTCAGCACAGTTAAATTTACTTTTTAATTAACTGCCTTTCTCTCAACTAAGACCAAAGGGTGTTCTAGAGCAACTGTTTCTCTTTACAATTGGAAACTGTTCTTTGAGCCTCTATACAGCATATAAAACTTGTTGGGACTGAAAATGGCCCAAGAGCTTTGATAAATGGCTAAATACAACTTCATAGTAAAGGCAACGGTGGCACAGGAGTTAAGTGCTCACCCCGTAATCGAAAAGTTGCAGGTTCGAGCCCCGCTCAGTCTGTTACTGTCGTTGTGTCCTTGGGCAAGACACTTAACACCTGCTGGGGGTGGTCAGAGGGACCGGTGGCACCATTGCTCGGCAGCCTCGCCTCTGTCAGCTCATCCCCACCAATGTGTGAATGTGTGTGTGAATGGGTGAATGACTGATTGTGTTGTAAAGTGCCTTGGGGGGTTCCAGGACTCTAGAAAGCGCTATATCAAATACAGGCCATTTACCTAAAAAAGCCCTACAATGGAAAGACTGGTTTGGTCCCGCCCACTCAACCAGGACACGAATACTAAAATAACTGATTGGCCAATTGACCCCAGTGGCTCTGAAGCCACTTTTGGACCGTAGGAACCTTTTGTAGTTCCTGTAACCTTTTCAGGAACCAAGCCCTTCTCTAGTGCATGTGGACCGATAAGAACTAGGGACCACCGTCCTCACTTCATATAACCATCTTAGCTCCTCTGAGGCAGGGTCTTTCCGTGGTTCCATCGCAAAACCACATGTTTCCACTTCTTAAAGCCCCCCATTTTAAAATAATTACGGTTGTCGGCATTATAGCACAGCAGCAAAATGGAAAAAAACGCATGACAAGTGGAATGACGAGTAAGTAAAAGCAGCAGCAGCAGTAGTAGTAGTAGTAGTAGTAGTAGTAGTAGTAGTAGTAGTAGTAGTAGTAGTGTATCCAGATAACTCTATAGGCAGCTATGAATCTACATGGCATTCATTCAAAGTCAGAATTTTCCCAGTCCATCCTGGAACGAAACATGTGCTCCGAAATTGTTCTTTGCTGTTTTCTTCTAATCCGAAAGGGACGTTAGCAGTAGCTCAGGCTTGCCTTGTTCTTCAGTCAGTATTACCACCACCAATGATTATTTATTTTGAAGTGGTTTGGAACATGCAAATGTAAGAGGGTGTGTCTAAGCAGGCTACAGTTCTGATGAGATGTTAAACCAGTTTTGCACAGAATGAACCGTTTCTCCGTGGCTATTACAACATCACTAGTTTACACTAGACATGGTACAGACTTTGGTATACTACATTTAGCACCTCAAGCTGCCTATATTCAACAGCAACAAGGTAAATGCAGTTTGGAATCTGAAACCCCTGTAAATGCTGTACTTAGAATTGACATTTAAGCTCTAGATGTTCATGTTACCTCTGGGACCACTTCAGAGTTCCCCTTCCACACCTGCTCTAGTTGTCTTTTCAGCCTCACGTAGAACAGCTATGTTTCCTGATGTTACTTTTACCTGGAGTTAGCTTCGACTGCTACATTTATATACTGCCCCCCTTTTACTTCTCGTCAACCTCCACCATATCAGGGCAGCAGGCAGATGCTGAGAGTCCCATAGGATCTCAGCTCCACTTTGAGTGGAGTAATCCATTGGGAAGTGGAGACTTCTAACCCTCATTTGGCACAGTTTCACTTTTTAAACTCATCCAGCTCCTTGGATATGCCTTTTAGTGTACACTTAAATCACACACCTCGTATCTATGTGCTGGACTCTGGGGCATCTTTTGTTCCAGCTGAATCTCTGACCTTTTTGTCTGAGAGAGTTCCCCACCTTCAGAGATCTTTCTCTGCCAGGATCAGAGGCTCTGTGCCTTCCCTTTAGTCAAACGTTTTATAACTAGGGGACAACAATAAATCATACCAGAAGTAAGTCCAGCTGTTATATTCGGATGAAGAACAAGCCTGAAAAATCCGAGCAAGAGGTTTAGAAGTAACCAAACAAAGTCTCCCTTATATGGCCGCTCTAAGAGCTTATCTGGAGGACATACACTAATTGGCCACTTTATTGGGTACACCTGTCCAACTGCTCATTAGCAAACATCTCTAATCAGCCAATCACATGGTGGCAACTCAATGCATTTGGGCATGTTGACATGATTGAGACGATCCGCTGCAGTTCAAACTGAGCTTCAGAACGGGGAAGAGAGGTGATTTTAGTTACTTTTAACATGGCATGATTGTTGGTGCCAGACAGGCTGTTCAGCGTATTTCAGAAACTGCAGCTCTTCTGGGATTGTCTCACACAACCACCTCTAGGGTGTACAGAGAATGGTCCGAAATAGGCAAAGCATCCAGTGAGAGGCGAAATTGCATCATTTTAACAACCACGCTCCTCCACCACGCCTCCGCACGGCCCAAAATGTCCGCAATGCGCACCTAAGAAAATTTCAAACCACGCGGACGGTCGGACGCGGAAAAACATGGCGGACCGGCAAGAACTAGTATGGTAGAGGTTCGTAAATACAGACATTTGTATGATTCAGCTCTCAGAGATCACCGTGATCAACATGTTGTTAATAATTCTTGGAGAGAAATAGCTCGCACTGTCGGAAAAGACGAGGACGCTGTTAAAAATGCTGGAATGCCATGTTGTAAACAACAGTAATTTTTACTTCTACTACGGTGTAGTGTTGGATGCATGCTGTACAGCTCCATGCTGCCCCCTACAGTTTGGGAGAATATTGGCTCACCGCAGAGGCAAGCCGCATGAACCATAAACGCTGCAAGTTGTGAAGCGCGTTCCATCCGCGAGCCGCATCACCAAGCGGAAAGTGAATGCGTCAAGCATAAACCAAACTTAATTCTGGCTAGTCTGCGCAACTTAAAAAAACACGATCGCACAACCTGGTTGATTTGCGCGTCGAATTTAAGAGCTGTGTCCAGTTGCACTCCCAAATTTCGGATGGTGGTCTTCATATTAGATGCTAAAGGGCCCAGATTCACAGCATCGCATGGGTGTGTAGACACACCAGGGCTAAGTACAATTACTTCAATCTTAGCGTCATTCAGATGTAAAAAGTTTGTAGCCATCCAGGAGCGCACATCCTCTAAGGCATCTACAAGCTTTGATATTGACCCATCGACCTCCCGCTGAAGGGGGAGGTAGATCTGACAGTCGTCAGCATAAAAATGAAAACGCAACCCGAACCGCCGAAGAAGATTCCCCAACAGTAGTAAGTAGATGGCAAAAAGAAGCGGACCCAGTACAGACCCCTGCGGCACACCCAACTTGAGTCCCGCCCAGGTCGAGGAGGTTTCACCTACACGGACACAAAAACTCCTGTCGGATAAGTAGGAGTGTAGTCATTGTAGGGCTGCACCGGTAATTCCCGCCCAGTCACCAGATCTATATCCAATAGAGCACCTTTGGGATGTGGTTTGGAATGAACGGGAGATTAGTATCATGGATGTGCAGCCGACAAATCTGCAGCAACTGCGTTATGCTTCATGTCAATGTGGACCAAAATCCCTGAGAAATGTTTCCAGTACCTTGTTGAATCTATTTCATGAAAGATTAAGGCAGTCCTGAAGGCAAAAGAGGGTCCAACATGGTAATATCACGGTGTGCTTAATAAAGTGGCCAATGAATTTATATGTCCAACAAATCCACTTAATAAGAGTGCATTTAAAAGAATTATGCTTAAACCTCGCCATTGTATCAGTAACAACTCACTTGTGTGCAACACACATTACACACTTAAAACAGAAGCAATAAAGAGTAACAATCTCTGATCCAAGAGAGGGCACATTTCTAATGAAGGTATAAAATAATGTGAAGATGAATGTTTATCTAGGTGCGTTTGCCTGCTGCCCTCCACACTCAGCAGCATTAAGCAGATGAGAAATAGATGAAACAGAACAATAAATCACTATGATCTATCAGTGAGATTCAGAGGTTGATGACAAGAATATATTAAGATGAATTAGTGAATAAAAGGATAAAGGCAAAGCATAGAAGAAAACATTAACTATGAGATAAGGTCAAACAACGTATTATTATCCATCTAAGTAGAGAGGTGAAGACGCACTTCATCGCTGACACTCACACCTATAGACAGCCCAGTCTTCCTCATTATCCCCCAGTGGAGGCCATCCTAATCCATATCTTCTGTTCTTTCAGACCTCAAGTCTCATTTCCCCTCAGGATCGAAGCTGACACAAATGGCTCATGAGCAGTCGGGAGAGGGAACACATGGTCGCTAACTAACTGGCCAGTAGTGTGAGTGCGCTCGTCGTTTTGGAAGGACAACAGCAGCATCAAAATTAGATTACCATTAGGCTGCTCGTCAGTCAAAGATCATTAAATTACTGTAAATAGGAGTCCGATGTGTTGAGGGAATGATTTTGGAATATTAACTGTGCCAGGTTATGATACTGCCAGACAGAAACTCATACAGAAATGCTAAATTCAAAGCAAAGGGAGAAAAAAAGCTTCACACAGGCTTGTTTTGGGAGAATATTTGTGAAAGCAGAGCGTAGAGAAAGCAGTGGGATCAGCAGGAAGGTGATGGAGAACATAAAGCTCTAACGCCAAACTACATGCTGCTGTTTAAGCTTGCCTGCTGCCGGTCTGCAGTGCCATAAAATATAGTGTGCAATATTCAAGACCATTGTTCCCTATAAGTGGTACATTGGATGGGGTTTCCATAGCAACAAGCATTGCCTTTAAATTGAAGTGAACATAGAGAGAACAAGCAATGTTTGCATCCAACTGCAAGCACACAAACTGCAAAGTGTTAAGTGCTCTCTCTCAAACACACACACACACACACACACACACACACACACACACACACACACACACACACACATACATGCGTGCAGGCAAATTCAAAACAATCAGTAGAGAGCAGAAAGGAAAATGAGCTACATGGCGGCTTATTACACTGGGGTCAGATGAGATTCAGCAGGCAAGAGGAGAGACGCAGCAGACGAGGCTGGAGAAAACATCCCTGACAGAAAACAAGACGTTGCTCCTAAACGGTTCGGGATCAGTGGACTGAGACCTGTGCTTCTCAGGACGGCATGCAGCACGTCTGCAGCGGCTAACGTGACGAGACTGCTTTTAAAATGTGATAGTCTGATGCAGCAGGTGAGAAACAGTGTGTGTATGGGTGTGTTTAACCATGACACGTCTTTGTTTAAAGCATCTGTTTTCATGGTCAGAGTCAGGTGGGTCTCCTGCACCAGCCTTTGCTCTGATTCACACCTGGCTCACTGTCTGAATATGTACACTGGGGGACTGAATTCAAAAACATGTTGTGATGCCACCGGCTCCACACTCAACTGCAAACACATTGTATTAATACAGCGTATTAATATTGATAAAATAATCAGCTCTAGTGTTTTAGTAAAAGTCTGCAGTGAGAAACTCATCTTCACCCTTTTACAAATCAATGAACCCGTTATTTACAAACAATGGAAAACCTGAGTCTAATAAAAACACAGAGTACAACAGAATAAACCAGTAGGCAGTTTAACTCATTCATATTTAGATCCCATGCTGATGAGCTTTATTAAGGTTTATGTAAGGCGACATTACTAATAGTCACAAACTGTAGTGATCTTAAAAAAGAATAAAATGTTCTAGTCAGAGCAATAATTTTCCAAAAAATTGCTTCATTTTTGTACAAAAACTGCTGTGCTTTAAAGTTTTAACCTGTAGTCTAGGTGCACTTTATTCTCACAAAGGTAATGATGTTTTAGCGTTGTGTGCAGTTGCTTTACCTTGGCTGGCTCTCCTGAGCCAGGCTCTCTCCCCTCTGGTAAGCATGGTCTGCTATCTGAGTTGTGGATCTCTTGACGATCTGTTTGAGCTCTGGCTCCAGCCGCTCCATTATGGCTTTGATGGTTTCAGGGAGTTTTTTCAATTTGGCTAGAGCCTTAAAAAAAATAAATGATGAAAACGTAACTTAAAGTAAATATTTTGGTTCAAGCAAAAGACTAAAACAGAGGAGGTATTTGTCGAAGCTGTAGTCGTGCTTGTACCCTGATAAGGATGCCCATGAACTCAGCGCTGTTCTCCTCTGGATCCACCTCTGACAGATCTGCTTGGCTCAGTTCTCGGATGTCCTGCTGCAGCTCGCGCACTGAAGACAGCACACAGGGACACCAAGGTAGCACAGGGAAAAATAACTACACATATGCGTTGTTAGTTTTTCTTTTTATCAATATAAAACACTAAAATTAAACGACTGGCTTTTAGTGTGTTAATGCCTTTGTCCAAAAACACACACAAACACCTGCACTTGCACCCCAAACCCACCCCATGCTCTCGACAGCTGACTTAGCCACATTAGCAGCTAAATTGAGATTGGCAGTATCGAGTGATGCTCTAATTTCCATTAGATGGGGCCTCCCAATTCCCCATCAAAGCACGTTAGGAGAGTTAATGTTTATGGCAAGTTAATGGACTTTGGGTGTATTTCCTCTTTTCACTCATTCCAATGGCAGTTTGTGTAATAATTATGACAATTACTATCTACAAATGAGGTGCTCTAATGCTATTAGACAAAATGGAAAGCCAGGGCTTTGATGGAAGCCGGTCGCTGTGTCGTGACCGCAGTTGTTAACATGGCGGTATACAGGCACTTACTGCTGCCTGCTGGTGGCTAATTGCCAGACTTCTCTTTGTGTGATGTCGGGGAAATTGTGGCTGAGATTTAAGGTGGAAAGGATGGGAGGACGGAAACGTATCGAACATTAGAGGTCAGAATGTGTGTGTGCATGCTGACGAGCTGGGACAAAATGAACAGGAAGTAAAAGAAAAGCAATTGTAAATGGTCAACATGTCGCGCAGGAATGTTAAATGCTCAAAGGGATCTGCCAGATTCTAAGAGCTATGCAGAGTCTGGTATCACAGAACTAAAACCAGTGAGTCGATAACTTTGAGCACCAAGAGTGGGTGGTGAAAAAAAAAGTGCAAGGCTTTATATAAAAACTCCCAAAACACCCAGGGAATGCCAACGTATTGCCAGATTAACTTTTTTCATTATCTTCTTGTTTGTGTTTCTCTGTGCTCTGCCTGGAAGAAAAGCAGTGAAGACTCTACACCCATACCGTCGGTTTTATCAGCCTCCGACAACATCCTGGTTACCAGTCTGAGCATCATAAATGCAGCGCCCCTGCAGTGAATGCAGAGACACTGGGTGACTAATGGTACACGTAGGGGGCATGATGATTATACTGGAAACGAGGGAGACGTATATCATCATCATAGCTGAAGATGCTATGGTGTGTGTGTGTGTGTGTGTGGTTGTGTGCATAAGTGCGTGCATGGTCTTCTGTACAGAAGTCTGGATCAGCAGTTTCAGAACCATAGCAACATGCAAATGAATGTAATTTAGAGTGATGCTAATGACTTCATTTGAGAACGAGAATACTGAAAATGCAAACACAAGCTCAAATCCAAAACCTTTCATTTTTTGCCCAAACCGGTGTTACAAATTGACACACATCTCCTATAGTTCCTGAAATGTGAAACGCTTTAACTTGTTTACAATTTAGAACAGGTGTGTCCAAACAATTACAGAAGAAAGCCAAGGTTAACAAAATAGTCCGCGCGGGAAACATCGTTTTGATTTTTATAAGTACAAAAATGCAAAATTACTTCAGTTTTTCATTTGTAATCTTCAAATATGTTCAAAAACTAAATATTAGATATAATCTAAACATAAAAATGTAACAAAATATCAACAGCCAACTGGAGAGACAAAATTCAACATTCAAATGATGCAATTTGAGGCCGCATGAAATCCCTCTTGAGGGTCGCAAAAGGCCCCCGAGCCACACTTTGGACAAGCTTGATTTAGAGCTTTTCATTAAACCCTGAAATGCTATGAATTAGGACTAAACGACCAGCATAGCCAGACTCTTGAGCTGACAGAGCGGCGCAATTGGTTGTTATTTATTCATTTATTTATAACTTCCATAGCGATGCTACTGCCGATATTATTTATAGATTTCATCACCCGTTACTTATTTTCCGTCTCTCACTCTGCACTGTTTGCATGTGTGTGAAACAGAGGCTGACTGGCCAGATTCCTGCAACATAGAAAAGTGATTTACCATAATAACTCTATATGGACTTGAAATCACAACTTCTCTTCTTTAAAAAAAAAACTATTAGGATTGTCTTATAGCACAACATTTTGTAGAGTTATGGTAACTCAGTGAATGTATGTAAAATTAGTCAGTGTTTAGTGTTGTGGGTGAAAACTGTGCGTGCATGTTTCTTGTTAATGAATACATTTAAAGGAAATACTTTGTTTTTATCCTAGCATTATTAGAGTAACAGCCGTTTTGATGGTATGATGTCATTTTCTGTCATGTTCACAAATGCTACTGTACATTTGTGAATGTGCTGAAGTTTAAAGAAAATTGTGAATCGATTTGAAATCACAATTTCTGCCAGAAAATTTGCAGCTCAATCTAAAATGAATTGGTCAGCTGACATGTTGTGGTTAAATGTGCTTTACAAATAAATACGGTATGGTACTCAGCCCTAATACACATAACCATATATGTAGTGTTTATGTGGCACCATGTTTTTAAACTGGAACCTGCACCCCCAGCCAACGCTTTCATGATTTTGCTCCCACACCTTGTTAATATTGGGTCATTTTTCCATGGCTGTGTTTTATTATAACACTCTCTCGGTGTATAATAAGCTTTAAAGGTTATACCGCTGCTAGATCCAGGCGTGCTAAACTGTGAAGAATCCAAAAGCTTCCGTGGAGTCGACAGGCCGCTGACTTCCAACACAGGCAATGGAGATGTTTCTTTAGTCATGGACCTGAGAAAGGAAAACAAAAGTAGTATTGGTTACTTTTGTTTACGCACATTGAAAAAAAAAATCATCGTGGAGCAGACATTTAGTATCCACTACGGACGCACCGATATGAAAATCTGGGCTGACGTAGATATTCACAAATAATATTTCTGTTATGGCCGATAACGGATGTTTATTGATTTTACAATTATAATTACAAATACATACACATATTTATATATACACACATACAGCATCAACGCGACATGACTGAACAATTACAGCATTACCACCCCCTACACATACAGCAGCTACAGGGAAATAAATGTCAGTTGTTCATTTCAGCCCCGTTTTACCTATTGGTCCCATTCTGGTGTTAATGCCGATATATTGTACATCCCTAGTTTCCACCAACAGAAACACAAACACAGACCTGAACCTGCATAACAAAAGCAATCTACTGTTAGAACAAATCTCCGGTCGGTGAGAGGGTTCTCTGCTTTCCAACGATCCATTTATCAAACACCGAGGTGGAAGCAATCCGGGTCCTGTAAGTTAGGCGGCATGAACACAGAACGCCTGCTAAGTGAGTGGGTTGCATGGAGGCTGGCTTGTTGTTAAAGGCAACCCAGCACAGGAAGGCCAGGACCTGTCACCGGCTGACCCTTATTAATAAATCACCGTGCTTTACCAACCCACCGCCACCATAATTACAGCACCCCCAACACACACACATGCAAAAGTGCAAACAGCAACTTCAATGAATGTTTCCCATGAAAGCAACAACTGTGTTTATTGTGTGTGGGCTGAATTATTGTAAACAGATTATACAAGCATCACAACAAAATGAAGAAACCAGCTTTCAGGTCACAGTTATTCTCATCATGCCTGTCAGACATTTCATGGCCTTTAAACCATAAATGGCATCAGACAATTAAAGGTGGAAGTTTTTCTGTCAGTAACTATAAACATGCCATAATCGTACGTGTGCTAAACCCCCCCTTGAATAATCTAACAGCAGTGTCTCTCACAATTATATGCCAGCCTACTAACTAGCTCAGAGTATTTCTGCTCACAACTTTAAACTATTTTGGCTTCTTTCATCTGATTTCTTTGACGCTTCGCAGCTCACCACATAAAGAAGAAAAACAACACATTTTAAAAGGTGTTTGAAAAGTAATGATTCTGATTCTGCAGATCATTAGAAAGTTGGAATAAACTGCGGGGTAACACGATTCATATGTGTGAACCTATTTATTTTACAGGTCTACCGTTTAACTGTTGTTTATAAAAAGAAAGAAAATGTATTTATTTTAATCTGATTTAAGGGAATTCTAAATCCTAAAGAAATACAATAGTGGTTTGTTACCCTGGAAGACGAGCAGCATTTTTGTCCTTGTTCTTGTGTCCAAGGCGACTTGTAGACTTAATGTAAAGGTGTCTGTGCAGCTCGTCGATGAGCACCAGATGCATGTTAAGCTTCTTGTTTTTGAGCTCCAGGCGCAAGTCTCCAAGTCCTTCAACCTGCAGCAAGGGGCCTTCTAAAGACTCCACCGCTGTCACCTGCAGACAAAAACAACACACCGACACATTAGCTGATAAAGTCAGTTCGGTACAACGCCCGCATCGCAGCAGAAGCAGCACCAATCCGGCTGTCGATCTCACGCTCCATTTTCCCCTCACTTGTGAACAAGAGACACTTAAACTCTTCTACTTCATGCAGGACCTCATCCCTGACCTGGAGAATGCATTCTACCCTTTTCTGACTCACGACCATGGTCTTGGATTCAGAGGAACTGATTCTCATCCCAGCTACTTCACACTTGGCTGCGAGCCGCTCCAGTGAGAGCCGGAGATCAGGTTCTGATGAAGCCAACGGGACCGCATCATCTGTAAAAAGCAGAGACCTGATGCTTAAGCCACCAAAACAGATCCCCTCACCTCCTTGGCTGAACCTAGAAATCCTGTCCATCAAAGTTATGAGCAGAGTCGGTGACAAAGGGAAGCCTTGGCGGAGTCCAACTCTCACAGGAAATGAGCCCGACTTACTGCTGGCAATACGGACCAAGCTCTGGCACCGGGGTATATAGCGACCTAACAGCCTGATAAACATAGTATTTTTACAAATTAAATGTCTGTACGAGATTTGGATTTCAAATTTAAACAATTTTCCTTTCCTACAGATTTTATTTTTCTTGTTTGCATTTTTACACAGGAAAAGGTGCCAAATTATTATTGCAGTTTACCAATCTTCATGACAAGAAATAAAAATGTTTTAGTTTACATTGACGTTAGGATGTATTTTTTACAATGCTATTTTCTGTTTTAATGGAACAAATGACCAGCATCATGCAAAAGACATGTGCATTATCAGGACGAGCCAAAAGGGAGCAGTTGGCAGAGTAGGCTAAAGGGAGATGGAGGCTAAGGGCATGGGTCAAGTGCATAATGATGCAAATGAGTCATATTAGAGATTAAATTATATGCTTCAGCCTATTTTAGCTTAATACAATAACTCACCATGTCGTCGATGTGTTGCCCGTGTGTGTGCGTGCACGCCTGCATGCGTGCGTGTTCCTCACTTCTCAGATGTGTCTTTGCATGATTACATGTGTGTGTGATTGCATGTTAGTAAATCACTCAACATGTGCAAAAGTGTGTTGGGAGGGAATGGTTACCATCATTAGGGACCTGTCCTGTCAGCATAATGAGGAATCTGGGGTCTGAAGGGAATTTGCTTAGGAAACAGGAAGGTGAGAAGGAGAATGAAGATGAAGAAAAGGAGGAGGACGCGTTTAATTCTTATTAAATCAATGTCCTTTTACAGAATGAACTAGAGGTTTTTCAGAAACATTTCATTTCATTTTAAATAATTTCTTTTTCTTTTTCTTCTGAGTTAAAGAAAACTGACCCCTGAGCAGAATTTTAGCAGAAACATTTTAAGTCATTCATTATAAAATAACTTTTTATAAGAGCAACCACACATAGCCAGATCCTGAAATCCAACTTTTCCTCAAATAAGCAAAAATCTCATCTCAACTTTTTTACAACATCTTCCAGGACAGTTGGACCAAAATCCAGATTTTTTTTTGATTCAATAGAAAGAAGACAAGGCTAAGACACTTTTCACAACCTAAGCTAGTTTGTTCTTTAACTAACCTCATGGGACTTAATGCTGTTGTTCAATATTAGACAGAAAACCCAGTGCTTTAATTGTCAACCCCCAGAGAGAAGCCTCATCACAAAGCAAGCGTTATGTTAAAGAGAGCAAATGCTTCAACTTGGTTATGATAATCCTGCACCATCACAGGGTAAAACAACTACACTCAAACATGCTTAAATAATGTGAGAAGCTGAATGAATACGATAGAAAAGTGAAAACATTTTTCAACAAAAGCTCATTTCAATGCTTTAAGTTAACTAAGTGGTCCAAAATTCAGAACTCAAACCTCAACAGAAAGTCACGGCAAGCAAATTATTCTGCACACCAAGATGGAGAAGGCTAAACCATAATAACCAGGTGCGTTCAAGCGTCTGTTACACAGATCAAAACACACTTCAGGAATTACAGCCAAGGCCGTGGCCAAGTGAAAGAAAATGCTCACGTAAAAATATATGAAATGTTGGAAGAAAAGCTTTTGATTTTGTGATGCGGCAACTCTCCTGAACACACTTCAGGATTTAAAGGGCCTACTTCAGGAGATGCAAACTGAAGGTGCTGCAGTTCTGAGTGCTCTCAGGGTGTTTACTCACATCCAAGCAGCAGTTGTTCCTTCCAGCTTACGGATTACATTACGTTTTAAGTACGGTAAGTACATCCATAAATGAATGGAAAATGCGACACAATCAACAGTTTTGTAAGCATTACAAGCATCCTCTGTTCTGCCTAAAGTGTGGTTCATAGAAAACTGAATTGCTCTCAATTCTTCATTCACAAGGTATGTAAACACGTTTATAGAGCAAAAACCAGAAGCAGCAACGGTACGACGAAATAAAAAGCAACAGGTTGTGGTTTTGAGTGCGATTTTTCTCTGGCTTTGTAAACTGGTATCAATCTCACAAGTTTGTGAGATAAATGCAATGAAGTGAACTGACTAAACTTTTTACAACCTCTAGAACACAATGAACTGACTAAGCTCAAATTGAATGAGGTTCCTTTTCTTTCTACCCACACAAGGAGAATTTTTCATGGTCTTTTGGTTTCAAAGTCATTTTTCTTTCATCCTCCTCAGGTAGCCCCATTCAGACAAACTAATTATTACCAGAGTCTGGAGGAAGATGAGTGGGAGTGACATTGGATGGGGAAGAAGAAGAAGACAGCTCATAGAAAATGGTCCGCAATGCCATCCTTTACCTACTCTGCTAAGGATACTGCAGAGTGCACATCAAAAGATCAACAAAACACACACACACTTGCAGTGTCTTTACTGCACAGAGATGATGTGAGTTTCACCCTATTGACAATTCACGGCTAGACAAAGACTTCTTCAAAGCAACAATGAAAACAAACCACTAGAGTGTGTGTGTTTATGGTCAATAAGTGTCCCTAGAATATAAAAAAAAATACTCTTTTCTGGACAACACATGCTGAAAGGGCTTAAAGTAAAGCAAAGATCACTGTACTCACCAGCATGTCGGTAGCATGAAGGTAGTGTTTGCTTGCCATATAGGTCTCCAAGCACTGAGGAACCTGCTTGATGCTCTCGATCTCATCCAGCAGCTGAAGGACATGCTTGTGCTCGATGCCTTCGATCCACAGTTTTCTCAGCTCGTCCCTTTTACAGTGGAGCAACATTTTACATGACAAGAGGTTCTCCTTCACCTGCAGAACACAATAACCCAAAGCAATGAGTAACACAGCAATATGGCGCTTGTAAATTATCAACTCAGATAGCAGACAAAATAAAAAAACTTGAAAAAATAAAACTGCCTGACAAAAAGGTCACCATGTGGATTTAACTAAGCACATAGGAAGGAGCCTCCTATTGGATGTTTACTAAATGGGCAATAATCTTTCAGTTGGCAACAAGTTATTTAACCCCAACTGGTGCAATGAGTTGCTTCTCATTTCTTAAACAACCATGTGGAAAGACAAATTTGGTGGTCGTGGAAAAGAAGTTAGTCTGTTTGAGAAGGGTCATATCGTTGGCATCAAGCAGAGAAAGCATCTAAAGAGGTTGCAGAAACGACTAAAGTTGGGTTAAGAACTGTCCAACGCATTATTAAAAACTGAAAGGATAGTGGGGACTCATCATCTTTGAGGAAGAAATGTGGTCAGAAAAAATTATCTGAACACTCGTGATCGGCAATCATTTAAACGTCAAATTGAAAAAAAAATAGTAGAACTCATGGCTATGTTTATAGTGAAAGTAAGAGCATTTCCACATGCACAATAACTAGGGTTGGGCGATTTGTATATTTTTTCCCAAGCTGATCAGAATGCCCCAGTAACATGATGTAATGGAATGAAATGACTGTTTTCCACCAAAAGGCATTTTCCACCTTTCCTCTGACACAGAACTAGTCTGCATGAGATATGGCCTCAAGGTCTCATGCATTTGCTTATAAACTGCTTATTTCCTAGCCTGGCAAACCAGACTAAATAAATGTATTATTTTATTATTACTTATAAACTTTGCAAAGCAAGAATTTGGTCTAGTTCACTAGGCTACTTTTTTCCAGCTCAAGAGAAGAATGAAGAATGGACTCTCTCCTTTTAATAAATCAAAGAACTCTATTTTAATAAAGCTAATCAAACAAAGTGTTAGTCAATAATAAGATGTGACCAATGTGTGAAATCAAAATATTAATTACTTTAATTAATTACTTTATTATAATCCTATTGAATATAATATGTTAGCCTCAAGGGCAAAATGCCGATTATCACTTGTAAGTCGCTTTGGACAAAAGCGTCTGCTAAATACATAAACATAAACATATAATAAGTAATATGACTTTAAATGTTTCCACTAGGACTGATCTCACGTAGAGTTAAAAGACATGCTTTACTGATCCAATCAGAATCTGCCAGATCTGACGGAGGTGTGGTTTTGGTGGTGCTTGGTAAACTTGTCATCTTTTCATTCGACCATACACCAAAACATCCTATGTATAAAACTATGCCCGCGTCATCTTTAACGCCAGTTCAAAGCGTTCTAGAGAAGTGTCGGAGTGGCCAATCCGTAACTTTCCTCTTCAGCCAAAAGAACCAACGACAAGCTGGATAAAATCTGTTGCTGTTCCAACTGCTGCAACGGTTCCTTTCAGAATAAAAGCTGAACCATCACGACCCAGGTTTGGGTCTCACTAGATGCCAACAAAACCGTTGTGACCCGGAAGTATCTCAAAGACTGGGCTGGTCGTCAACCGCTGCTTTTCCTACCGGCTTCGGTTCCAGAGAGGGTTCAGCTGGAGCTCGACATTCCTGATCTAACAGGACTTCCAAAAGGGCATGTAGGCCGACAGAATGGCGTTGAATGTGTTTATGAATCTCCTAACCAAAGCTTAGCGCGAAGACATCACCTTCACTTCCCATCAGAACTAATCGCTTCTTTGGATTTGCTGGTTCTGAGCAACATTCCACATTACATCATTCTCCGTCTCATTCACCTTAGTTACACCATACATTTAGTGTTAAAGTTAGTCTAGTTTAATTTGTTTAGTAATAAATCTTTAAACTTTTAAACTTGACTCTTTCTCTTCTGTTGTCTCTGAGTGAATACGAAGCTGTTACATAATCCCTGCTATAAAAAGTTCCAATATTCTGGTTAACAATACCCACAGATCCATAAGGTTGATTTCATATTTACTATGGAATGTTATGTCTTATGGCTCATTAAATAACATGTAAATTAACTCATTACAATGAACAATGCAATTAATCGATTTCACTTAAATTAGGAACATTTCACCTTCTGCGGCTTGAACGCACATTTCTCCTGTGCTGCATAAACCTGAACTGGTCACATGCAGCTTGTGTGTAATCAAATGTCTCTAGGGAGCTTGCTGAAGATGCTATGAGCGTCTAGACTTTTGCCTCAGACAGACTTGTGGCTGTTTAAATAATGTTCTGGATGGATTCGTGCTCTGCTGACACACTCAAAGCAAGTGCTGAGTAACAACGAGCGCTACTTCAGCCAAAGTTTTAAATCAGGAAACATTTCCCCAAATGAAATAACCAGAAGTCTTCCAGACTCAGAGATAGAAGGGTTTCCACTTTCCACTCAACGCTGCGCTGTAGTGCACGATGTCGAGTGCCTCACAGACACTCTCCAAACCCCTCCTCAGCGTGCCGCTTGCGCGTGCACTGTCAGCTGCCAGAGGCGGAGCAGGTGAGAAAAGGGTCAGGTGCGCTGAAGGAGATCTTTTCTTGATTGTTACCTCCTCGATATTCTCTGTGCACAACGTGTAAAATATTTGTCAATAACAAACAAATAAACTAATCGCCTCCTGTACAATGTTACAACCGCAACGGCTCAGCCCATCGCCGATGGTCGATTCATTCGTCCCATCGCCCAACCTTAAAGGGGACTCAAGTGACTGGGTCTGAACAGCTCTGTAGCTGTAAGATTACCACTAATCAGTGAGGCCAACTGGGAAAAAATGCTTCAGTTTGCTAGGAAACATAAGGATTTGATCCTGGAGCAATGGAAGAAGGTCATGTGGTCTGATGAGTCCAGATGGACCCTGTTCCAGAGAGATGGGTGCATCAAGGTGAGAAGAGAGGCCGATGAAGTGATGCACCCATCATGCCTACTGTACAAGCCTGTGGGGGCAGTGCTATGATCTGGGGTTGCTGTAGTTGGTCAGTTCTAAGTTCAGCAACAGGATGTGCCCCAAGAATGAGGTCAGCTGACTACCTGAATATACTGAATGACCAGGTTATTCCATCTTGCCTGATGGCACGGGTGTATTCCAAGATGACAATGTAAGGATTCATCAGGCTCAAATAGAGTGGTTCGGGGAGCATGAGACATCATTTTCACACATGGATTGGCCACCACAGAGTCCAGAGCTTAACCCCATCGAGAATCTTTGGGATGTGCTGGAGAAGGCTTTGTGCAGCTGTCAGGCCCTACCGTGATCAATGCAAGATCTTGGTGAAACATTAATGCAACGCTGGACGGAAATAAATCTTGTTGTGACATTGCAGAAGCTTGTCAAAACAATGCCGCAGCGAATGTGTGTTGTATTCAAAGCTAAAGGCAGTCCAACAGAATATTAGAGTGTGTCACCTATTTTTTGTGGCAACTCTTTCGGGCCAGGCTGTGTATCTCAAAATGAACTGGTGGAAGTACCTAAATAATCCAGGTGACACGAGGGAGGAGAGAAGTGATATTTCCCTCTGAAAGCTTTTGAAGTACTTCTGATAAAGGTCTGGTTTTTAAAAGCAATACTAAGTGGGTGAAAAAGGCCAATAACATACAGTAACCTATACAAGTGTAGCGTACCTGTGGTCAAATTTTTACCAACAAATTGACCAGAAAGTAACCTTTCATTTGCAGAAACAAACACACTCCGCTACACAGGTGTTCAATAAAATTACATTTTATTAAACACATTATCTACACACTAATGAAGTTTGATCTTGGGATGAAAAACTGTTTCATGTAATAAAATATTCAAAGAGTCTGCTGTAGGGTGAAGCACGCTTTTAATTAGTTTAATTGGGTATAATTATTTGTATTTTAGTGTTTGTACATAGAAATGTGTCTGCTTGTAAAACAACAAGAACTTTGACCCAACATAAAATGATGGTGCTCTCTTTGTCTACTTAAGCCAGGCGTACACTGTGCGACTTTTTCACTCGTAGCACTCAGCTTCAGCTCAAACTGTACGACTTCCTCGCAGGGCAGATCTCACGAGTCCTGTGCTCACACTGTACGACCCAGTTCTCAGATGCGACCTGACTGCTCACACTGTACGTCTGGTAGCAACACGCCGGCCCTAAAAATATGCTAAAAATAGCAGTTTTTACACAACACCTCAGACTTTTTTGTCTTGTTTTGCCTGTTGTCCTTCGGGAGTGCTGCAGGAGGACACACGGGGATTTATGGGGGTTCGATGAGGAAAACGAAATAAAGAAAGTAAATCTGTGTTTTGTGATCAGTTTAATTTGACATGAACACGACAAACACACTTTCTTGACAATCTTTGTGAGTAAAAAAAAAAACGTGTAGAAATTAAAACGAACAACGTGTGTTATTAGGGAAATAGTGGGGAGCGGTGTCGATGCAGGATTGCGCATGCGCCGTGAGCGGTTCTGATACATTTTGGGTCGCAGCTGCTCGCAGCGCCGCTTCAACAGTGCGATACCCTCACGAGGGACGAGCAAAAATATTAAACACGCCAGAAGTCCGTGCGAGCTCACGATTGCTGATCGGTAGCTGGTCACGTGGTGTTAATCGCCTCTCGTAACCCCCTGTATACTACACAACGCAAAACTCGCCCCGATCTCGTGTATTCTCGCACGAGTGGAAAATCGGCTCAAAAAAGTGAAAAAGTCGCACAGTGTACGCACGGCTTTAGTGAAACCACAAATAAAAATACATTTAGAAGTAAAGGATTAAGATCTTAGTCCTGGAGTCTTTAGATGCTGCTAAATAATCTGAAATTAAACTACATCTTGGTAAAAAACAATCTGGTTCCTTCTCATCAACACACACTTACATCAAAATATCATCTTCTCTCTCCTGCCCTTTCATTGAAAGTGGTTTGTGTTGATATGTATTAGTATGTATATTCAGTTGTTTTTACACCATTTTCCCTTTTGAATGGAAAAAAACCAAAACAAACAAATAAATAGATAAATAGGTATTAGGGACGGGTCACTGCTTCTCACCTGTTTGATCTTGTTGCGGGAGCTGGTGATGCGCTCTGTGATGCTCTGATAGGTCCGGATGGCTGTGGTGAGTTCAGCATAATGCAGAACAATAAGTTTGTCTAAATCTCTGTCGCATGTTTCAAAAGCTTCTTCCAGGCGACCCTTCTCTGTCTCTCTGTCCTGCACATCATCACTGCTGGACAGAGTCCTGAATCAGGAGACGACAGAAAACACAGTCAAGCTCCATCACAGGAACAACAAAAATAAATGCATCCGTGTACTTTAGTTTAATGTCACAAGGCCTTCATGAACACTGCTAATTCTTATTTCAGAAGCTGAAAACTAAAAACAAATCGTAAAGATATTCTGGGTTTTATGCTGTTAAATGAAGGTGCATTATATGAATCATTGTCAGCGATAGTCGACTCCATTGACAATAAAATGAGCTTCGTATAACATGTTTTGACATTAAAGCGTTAATATAATTAATGTCATATAATATCGTAAATAAAACGACGGAAACGTTTAAGCAATTTAGCGTTTAATTCTTTGAAATTACGATACAGGAAGGATGTGGCTGCTTCCCATGTAGCTCCATGCTAGCAGTGAGTTCGTCCCCGAGTCAAAATGCAAGAATAAAAGACCCTTCTGACAGTCTAGATATCATGTTGGCTTGATATAAAGCACTAAAAACGCTTACCTAATGACAGAGATGAGAAGACCTGAGGGGTCTTTGTTTTTGTTTACAGAACTCCTGTATTTGCTTGTGTCCGCAGCCATTTTTCCAGCTGCCAGACTCAAACAGGAAGCGAGGAGCGTGAGGTCAGACCTTGGGATGCTGGGAAATGTAGTTTACAGCGTTAAAAACTGCTTTGCTTCTGTTGGGCAAATTTTCTCTATCTTACGTCGTCAAAAATGTCATACAATAATGTTTGCTGCAATGATTAAACTAAAATATATAAGCTTCTTTGTCATTTTAAGTAATTAGTGTAATTTTGACTTGTTTTTGTGTGTGGGGTGGGGGGGGGGGAATCCCTGAATACCTTTTTGGTTTAAAAAATATCATTTTCCCATTTTTATTTTGACATGTTTAGTCTTTTTTGTTTAGTTTTGTTTTTGGTTGGGTTAGGGTTAGGGTTCTTGTGTACCTCGTGATTATCTTGAGAGGCGCTATATAAAAATAGTTTGTTCTTCCTCGGTTTTCTTTTCCCTTTTAAATCTAATTTAGTATATTTTACGTTTTATTTTCCAATCTACTGTTTTATGTTTTAGTGTTTTTTTTTCTTGTACCTGAATAGCACATTGAATTGACTGTGTGTGAAATGGCCTTTTGAATACCCTCCAGTGTGTCCATACTTTCAGTCATCATTTTGCAGCCAATCCAGATTTAGAAAAGAATTCTTCATAATAATTAATAACATCAAGAATTGTTTGAAAAGATTTTTAAAACATTTTTAGTTCTGTGTAGTCTCCTTAAGAGCTTTTTGGAATTTAATTTATGTAAAATGTTCTCCAAATTTTAATATCAACAGGTGGTATTTTTTGATAAAGGCAACATTGCCCTTTCACCTAATCCAATCAATCAGTCAGAACAGCATGCTCAGTATCCACTGGCAGCACCAGCTCTGAATCCTTACGTCAAAGAAGCCAGTAGATTATGTGGAAAGAGTTTGAGGGTTAGGTGATAAGAGCTTTAACATTTACAACGGGTCCTTGGTGGTCAGAGTTTTCACAGAAGAAAAAAAATAAAAGAAAGACAAAAAAACATTTGCTACCATTTGACACAGCAATTAGATTGGACTGGATAAGTGGTCGGAAAACAAAGATTACCCACAATGTTATCTCATCATTCCACCAGCACATCAATCAGGACTCAAGGAGATGGACCCCTTCATGCTCTAGAATCAATGCTCTCACCATTCTCAATTGTACAGCAGATATGGTCCACAATACAAAGGAGGGGGGGACGGACCTGCAAAGCAAGTAAGTAAAACCCAGAACTGTAATAGTCTAAAGTCTTAAGGGACAAGATTGGACACCACTGATATTTAATCAATTTCCCTCTGGGATTAATTAAGTATTTTTGAATTGAATTGAATTTGAATATAAGAGATGAAACTCATATATTATGTAGATTTGTTACCCATAGAGTGCACAAACCTTTTTTTCTTGTAATTTTGATGGGTATAGCTTACAGATAAGAAAACCTTCAATTCAGTGGCAGTGGCAAAGGAGTTACCGTCAGTACGAGCCCAGTAACCAGAGGGTTGCAAGTTTGCACTTACACACACATGTATGTATGTATATATACACCTTTAAGAATTTTGGGAGCTTTAATAGGAGTGGACTGAAGTTGGAGTCAGTGTATCAAAAACCTAGACCAGTCAATCCCACGCTTTTTTCGTGGGGGGCCCTTAGTTGTGTCCAAGACATGCCTTGGCCCATCAATACCAACTACTACCTGCATGCACACATTAAAAGTGACTAATTACAAACATTTGTTTGCAAAAATAATAAACCAATAAACACCAGGGTTTGTTACTCTGAAAAAAAAAGATTAACTATAATTACGAAGGTAATTCATGCAAAAGAAGGCACAACAAGTGTTGAGGACACGGAAAAGAACACACTTTTCACATGTCTGACAGTTCTATTTAAAATGTTCTTGTTGAAATTGATCTTATGGAATATTCTAATTTTCCAAGACACAAAATATTGGGATTTTCATGATATGTCAGACAAATTCATCAACACTACATATAAGCTATTTAATAAGGCAAAAACTCACAAAGGTGCTAACATACATATTGTTAATTTGAATTTTTCTCTGCAGCTATCACAACTTAATGTGAGTTTTTGGAACGAGAAGTTCAGGAAAGTACCGTGTACAAAGATAAGCAAACTGTGCAGTGATACTATTACTTTTTCATCTGTGACACTTGTAAAAAACGAATTGCTGCTAAACTGTTTTTTTTTAATTGCATTCATCTATTGTTTTTATCATTGATGTTTCTTGATCACTGTGCATAACAGTTGAGCTGCTTATAATGAAAATCTTTCTTGCCACAATAATGCTGATGCAGACACAAAGCAAGGTCCCTTTTCACACTGCACCATTCAGTGTTTAACTATAAGCACTGTGTTCAATACAACCTGAGGTGTTTCAGAGCATGCCCACGGGCATTGCTGCACACTATCAATCTTTGTTGCATAATCTTTGCATTGTAGACTTGATGTATGAAAGCGTGAGCCCTCAATATGAAATAAAATTATGACTACAGTAAACACATTAGAATTCCTGCTATCACAGAAAATCCCAGCAGATGCAAAACAATAATTTTTTTTGCAGTGTATTATGGCTGACAATTGAAGGAAAAATTGTATGCCCTCGATGATAGCTATAGATTGTGTAAATTTTTTGGTCCATGATTATATTGTTTAAAATGATTCATATGAGCCTTCAATTCACATAGAAATTCCCATAAATACAATGAATTTTTAAAGCGGTTTCTATTGATTTGTTTTCATTTTTCCACATTGCAGAAAACACAATCCTACAACAATAAGTAGAGAACAACCTTATTGAAATTGCACTGCAATATGTGTATAATATATCAAGTATACTGGCTCACTCTTCCTGCAAAAGCTTTCCTCAAGGTAATTCAAACTACCAGCTGTGGTTTTAAAGGTACAATGTGTTAGAATTTTACAGTGAAATAATCTAATGACTCAATCATGGAAGGAAGGTAACATTTGAACAGATTTCTTTCTTTGGAGGTTGTCAGTTTTTCCTTCCTTCAAAATGAACATGGTGGGACGTGGTCTTTGTTTACAGTCTGTGAGGGTTGCAGACTCTGAGCTGATCTAATGCTGCAGCGCTGGCATTTGTAGTTTGTAGGCCAGCAGTAGATCAGGAGGTTGAGCAGGCTGCCCAGTAATCAGAGGGTTGTAGGACAATCCCAGCTCATGGAAGTGTGTGAATGAATGAATTGTAGTGTAAAGCACTTAGAAAAAATTGTTAGCTCTAAAAACAATTTAAAGCTACTTTTGCAAATCCGTATTACAGTGAAATGTATTCATCTGCTTATCAACTTACTGTGTATGACTCCTCTTCACTCGTCATCCAGAATCTTCTGGTGCTGATCTGCAGCTGGCAACAGCCATGAAAGTCATGGAACAGGAACGAGAGAGTCACTTGTTTGTTTTGAAACTGGACTGCAGTACCCACATTTGTCCACAGGATGTCATTCTGACTTCATTCATATTCATGTTGTACCTTTAAACTCCACAATGCTGTTTAGGTTTGATGTGGTATAAAATTCATACAAGAAGCTTTTTGATAAATTAGGACTGCCTTTGCTCTATTTCTTATTTAAGAATAATTTAACTTGAACATTCAAATCAATCACTTATCTAATACATATTTATTATATGTTAATCCATCCATATTAAATCTATGTTATTTTATTGACGACATTGAAAATGTGATTTTTTTTTCTTTTTATGGTATTTTTATTAGAACACCCAGCATTTTTAAAACATGTCAAGGTCTATGAGCAATTGTTTCACTTTCTACATCTTAGGTGTGTTCATGCTGTGTGTCGTGGTTCTAATTCCACGCTGTCGTTCTTTTTAAAACACAGAAACAGTTTTGTTACCTGTTTAATCGCTACGTTTCGTCTGCGGCCGCAGACTTCCTCAGGCTGACGCTGATGGTGGCGTCACTTCCTTCTCCGTTTATCCGCGGGCAGCAGAGGACGTCGTCGCCCTCTGCTGCCCGCTCTCCCCTCTCCGACGATGCAGTCCCATGCGCGGTCCAACGTGTAAACTCCATCGTCCCTGTTCATGGTCCCACATCCACGTCTCCTTATCTCTTTTTTCATTTAATCTGCTCAATTTTCACTTTGTCAATTCTTGATGGAAAAAAGCAACAACTTGAGATGATTTGTATTATGTTTGTATTGACTTCAGTTGAGAATTTTATCATTAATTTAATTTTGGTTTGCTCTTCAGAACTTACAGTGTGAATAACAGATTTCTTGTGACAGTATGGATGCAGTCAAACATGTTTATGTCATATACTTAAATATAAAGTGGTTCAAACCAAATATGGTGAAATTTTTTGAATCTGATTCACACGGGGTCAAGTAATTGACCCCAATATGCTTGAGTTTAAAATTAACTAAATTTCCTTTTAGACTCATGCATATATGCATATACATATACATATATATATATATATATATATATATATATATATGTATATGTATATATATATATATATATATATACATATACATATATATATATATATATATATATATATATATATATATATATATATATATATATATATATATATATATATATATATATATATATATATATATATATATATATATATATATATATATATATATTTATTTATTCATTTTTTGACAGGCAGCTTTTCGGAAACCTATTTCCACCACTGAAAGAAAGAAAATTTTGCATTGCACTTCTTTAAAATGAATGTGATAAATCATTAATTGATATTTAATAATTATGACTTTGAAACTCGCAATGAATTTTAAAAACAAAAGTATTGCTGTCAACGTCTTAATAACGATTTTATTTACGTTAGTGAATTTATATCTAATAATTATGATTTACATTTGTTATGTTGCTGCTGTGACAAGCCATTTATTTAGTAACTTGCTTAATTACTTTTTATAAAGAGCAGGAAAAAGGTAAAGCATTTGGATATGCAAATATGAGCATGTGCAATGAGTTTTAGAGACAATTTTTCCTGTCGTCCTTGATACAACATTTATGTGACTTAGTCACCATTAATAGTAAATAACCCGAAGTGAGTAGTTATGTTCATGTAGTTACATTTCCTTGAGTATCTTTTAGAAAACTTGCAATTCTGTGAGTTGTTTTATGGTATTGTACTTTTTATTTTTATGAGCAATGTTGTTATGAAGTATTGCTCTATCAGTGTGGTTGTTGTAGGACTCAAGAGTAGGTGAAACATCCCAGGATGCAGGCAGGTGACATCAAAAACAATTTAATGACAAAAAATGGGCAGAAGACAGAAAGATCACAGAGCCAACATTGGAGCAAACAAGCAACTAAAGGGGAATCGAACACAGAATGAAACTTACGCATGTTGCCTATACACTGAGGGAGGTGAGGAACAGGTGAGCTGAAAACCGACTGGGAGCAGGTGTACATGATAAACTGTGGAGCTTAGAGAAAACCCAAAACCAACAGAAACACAAAAACAGATGATGACAAATACTACTTGAGTACAATTTCTAATACCTACCACCTCTACCTACTTCACTGAAGGCGGTTTTATTCCGTTTTACTCAGAAATACACCAGATGACACATTTTCAATTTATTTAGTTCAACCATGTGAAGGTTAAGGGAATGAACAGAAAATTGTACTTCCTGTCAGTGGAAGGACCACCCATGTACTGTTCCAGCACTTTGAAATCAGTACCCACAAAAAATGTGAAAATCTTAGTTGTGTTTTCATTTATCTGATGAGTCACAAACAAGCCTGTTTGAATAATACTATTGTACCCTTGAAAATTTTTGATAACAATGTTTTTACTCTAACTTATGTATCTCTCATTAAAGTACAATATTTGGCTAACTCTGTAGTAACCAGAGATGTCAAGCAAACTGGTGAAATGTCAAGAGGATATCCAGCATGCCACTTTCTTCACCCCGCCCACTCACGAAAAACAACCAATCACAACTGCTGATGTTACGGTAGACGAGTCTTTTGTCCAATAATCTCGCGCGTTCTTGAGTAAACGTCACGCTAAGGAAGAGCGAACCCTCTGAAACTGAAGAATTTGGGCCCCAAACTGAATAAAAGCAAAAGTGGATGATTGTAGTTAACATCAAATGCAACACAGATAAACCACGCTTCGGACAATCCGCTGACAAACAATGGGAGCGAACAACAGTACCCGGAGAGTGTCATTTGAGTCGGACGACTACGATAATGTAACAGTGGTGAAGGGCATACGGGTGAGTTACAGGCAAACTTTCTAACAGGTGCTGTGAAAGAAGCTAAATTAGTGAACCGAGACAATAAAGTGGCTTAGAAGGGAAGTGTTGGGCTCAAACCATCGGCTCAGACATGTGAGAGACTGGAAACTTCCATTCACAGTTAAAGTGGAGGCAGACTAAAAAAGTTCAGAACTAAAGAAACTGCAAGCTGAGTCTGAAAGTGAAGTGAGGTTTAGACACCTGAATTGTGGAAATAATTCTGTATCTGGCTTACGATGACAAAACTCACATTATTTAGCGCTTGAGGCATGTTTTTTTATTTTTTATTTTTTTATTTACCGATGAGGTGTTTGTGACGATAACATTATATAGTCACGCAGCCTGGTATTGTTTACCTGCGCCTTTCTCAGCTGTTGTTAAAAATACACGGAGAGGAATTAGCCAATCAGATAAGGCTGCTGTCTGTCATTAGCCAAGGTTTATGTGAGGAAGCTATTGTTTAATCCTGTTTATTTTGGTCGATTTCTATAATAAAATCTACTACCTCATAGCCAGTTTTTATTTGATCAGCAGCTTAAGGTTATAGTGATGCATTTTAATTTTAATTTAATTATTTCTTCTAAAAACTAGGATGGAAATACGATCAGTTCTATTAGTACATAATACATGTTAGCCAGCATAAAAGTCACAAATTAGTACTATTCTGTTTCCTAAATAAAAGTTTAATTGCTGCGTAATATGTAAATAAAACCAAATAATGTAAAAGTAACTGGTGCAGAAAAGTCTGGAAACAAAATATATAATGTGTTCAGATGTACAGGTGAGCTTTGTTTTAGTTGTCTCTAAATTATTTTGGCAAATCCAAGAGAAAGTACGGTATCGAATGACAGATTTTTTTTAGCAGAAAAGAGCTCCAGTAGACTTTTAGAATAAGGGTAATTAGTTGTGTTTTTCTTTCCCGTTTGTGTAAAAGTAGAGTTGTTCTTGTGTGTACTGTATTGCGTTCATAAAATGTTATAGAGGTGGAACTTACAAATCATCATTGCAGCAATCACTGTGATTAAAAAAAATAAAATAAACTGGCCCCCTTGTTAAATGTCAAGTTGTTGTTAACTGAAATACTCAGATATATTTGGTATTAACATTAACAGAAAAACTGCAGTTTTTTACACTTCAAGCATCTTGTTCAGCCTGTCGTGCTTTTGTTTAGTTTTCTTTCTTTTCCCCTACTTTGCTGTTGCTTTTGGCCACTTGTTCAATAAGACAAAGTGTGACATTGTTGGAGGTCATGTCAGGTGTGTGTTCTTCTAAAGGTCTTTCTTTGTCGTTTGCAGCTCTCTGAAAATGTCATCAAGCGAATGAAAGGGCCTGCTGCTCCTTCAAAACAAAATAATGCCTCCTCTCCCCCACCCACCATCTCTGCTCCTCCTCTGCTGCAGCCTGTGCCTCCACTCGTTGACCCGTTCACCTCCTTGCCTCCTCCCCTTCCTCTCGTTGCTCCTCCATCTGCCGCAGAGACTGCGGCTGCACCTCCTCAACCCCCTACAGAAAAGGTAGTGGCATCCAACACAACTGATCTGAAGCTTGCACCTTCAGTATCCTCAGCTGCTGCCAATGCTGTTGCTGATCCTGCTTTTAAGCCTGTAGCTACACCTCCTGCTTCTGTTGATGCAGTAACTTTGTTAACACCTCCCTCTCCTCCTGCTCACACTGAAACACTTACTTCAGCTCCCTGTCGTGCTCCAGCTGTGGTGGAAGCACTCACATCACTTGCTTCTCCCTCTGTGATTGATCCTTCTCCTATAAGCCAACCCATCGCCACTTCTTCTCCATTAATCAAACCTATTGCACCTCCTGCTTCTCCATGTGTTCCTGATTTCACACCACCTCACCCTCCTCTTGTAAAGAGTGAACCCATCCCCTCATCCCTTCTTTTTGATTCAGAGCCCCTCTCATCCCCACCTGTCTTCAAGCCTGTCACAATCTTGCCAGCACCCCTCCTTCCTTCAGGGGACTCTTTGCCCTCACAGGCCGCTGAGCCTTTAGCTTCACCTCCTTTTCCCGAGTTTACTGCTGCTAGTGAACCAGTTGCACCTCCTCCACAGCCCACAGTGGAGCCATTATCACCTGCTCCAGTCTTCAAGCCAGTGGCAAGGGCTGAATCGAGTCCAGCTCCACCACCTGCTGCAGCAGTGGGTGAGTTTTATTCCAGGTTGCTGAGAATCTGTGTTTGTTAAATGGAAAAACACAAAAATCCAACCTATTGTTCTGGTATAAGATTTTAATTGAAGCTTTATAATCAAGGAACTAAATAAGTTGGTGCTTTGGTTGCATGGGATTTCATATTTCATACTTTATTTATTTATTTTTTTTATTTCAGCTAATTGATTAGCCTCTGTCTATTTCCTTTCTAAAACTGTATTAAAGCTCATTTAGAAATTGCAAAAGATTATCACTATTTGAATAGTTTTTAAATACTCAATTGACATCTGCAACATGTTTAATTAGAAGGCAGAGGTTTTGCAGGACTGAACTTGCCATGGGTTTATTAAGGATTTTATTTTGATTGTGTTTATTGTGTGGGTGTAAACTGCAAGCCACCTTAAGCCGCTTGTCTCCAACTTTTCATGGAGATTATAATTAGTCTTAATTTTAAAAACGTGCCTTGCAGTAGCTGCGGCCATTTTATGATTTATTGCCACCCCTTAACTGTTTATGACATGATTAATTCATTTCTGAACCTGGGAGAGATTGTTGAGAGAGTAACATAATGAATGCAGACTGAAATAATCTTCCAGACTTTCTTTGGTATTCTCTAGGCCTACTTTACTTGTAGTAAAAAGTACTTTATGTAGTACTTTATATATCCAGCTAAAGCACGTTGCAGACATTTACAGCTTAAAAGGAAGAATAAGGATATTTCATCTGACATTAATAGTGCAAAAAGCAAAACTTTCATGAAACTGATCAGAAATGTGCTTTTTGAACCAAACAACTTCATGGCCAGCTAAAAATCCTTCAAAGCAAACTTTAAGTTGTATTGTCTGCTTAGAGTTGCTGCATGAATCTGATCTTGCAGAGGACATCTGAAGGTTACCTGTTCATCGTTCAGAAGGGATGTAGATCCTTTCTAGGGTGGCATCCGTGATGTGGGCAAGCTCTTCCATCCTTGGCTGTGCTCACTTAGTAAGGTAATTAAAAAAAGGCCAACTTATGCCACGCTACGCTGGCTCTGGTGATTAAAACAACACCTCTGCTGTTTACTACAACAAACGTGCAGGCATCATTAAGGGTGTGTGTGTGTGTGTGTGTGTGTGTGTGTGTGTGTGTGTGTGTGTGTGCGTGCATGTGTGTGCATTTCTTTTATTTATCCTTCAAGCTCCCATGAGCAGTTGGTGTCTTACCTGCACTGGACAGCAGCTAGAAAATGCACTGCTTGCAAAATGATGGAGGGTTTGCAAAATGGGCCGTAAACGACAAGAAGAATGAATTTTTCACTTTGTAAAATGACTGCGACTCCCTAAAATAACTCGAAAAACTTGTGTAAAGTTCTTTTTACCGGGATACATTTTGTGGCCTGCTGTAACATATTTTATCTAACTTTGGCCAAAATGAGGCAGTACAAAAATCCCACACAGCTCCTCTTGGAAAAAATCCTTTAAGATGAGGAGGTGTTGCAACAAACTTCTTCCCATATTTTACTCATAATCAGGCTTGAGCAGCCTGTGTGTTTATCAGGGCCCACACTATATCACAGTAGTTTGTTTTTGCAAAAATAAAGTTAGAACTTTATTATTTGATCTGTTTTCAGATCAAATGAATGTTGTGAGAGCATCAGAGTTAGGTGTTGTATAAGTTGTGGAGTGTGTTAGAAAGCACTTCTTGAGTATAGCAGAGGAATCATTTTGTAAAGTGACACTTTTTAAGTAGACAATTTGCATACAAGTCATCTGCTGAAGAACATTTAGCTCCATCTTAGTTTTTTATTTTTTGGTTTTGTCTACAAGCACTGATTTGGAATTAAAAAGGAAAAGGTTAATTGGGACCAGTAGACATAAATGACCTCTCCTGTAGAGCAGATCAGCAAAAAACTGGTTTCCTGCTCTAAGTTTGATGCTTTTTTATGCAATTTTCTTTTAACATTAAAGTATGTGTTTGCTCCTGATGAGGACCTGAGCTGTTATTAGACCATGTGTCTGTGTGTGGACATCCACAGCGGCGTCCATGTGAGGGGACTTCAGAGCTGCATTTAGACTCAAGGTCACAAAGTATTATAAAAGTGAGGAAAAGTCAACTTGTACGATTGATCATGCCTGAGCATGCTCTTTTTAAGGAATACAAGCGAAAGGTGTGATGAATGTGAATGTGAATCTCGTTAAAATGTTGCAAAGTTCAGCCCAATTCTCAAAGGGTGCAACCTTAATGAGGCAGACATTGATTATGTGTGTCCACAAGAGTTGGGTATCGAGTGAGGTTCTCAGCAGGTCGGCCGTCTCTAAATCATGCCCCAAGTAAGTATGTGTGCTGATTACGCCATAGTCAAGGTTGAACCTCCTACACCTTCTCCAATGTGCTATAAATATTCATATGCTGGAGCCCACACACGGTTCTGGACTAATAGTCTGTTTAAAAATGTCTCCCAGGCGTAGCAGAAAGAATGGGAAGACGAGAGAGAAAAAAGTTGGTGGAAACTTGTGACACGTAATTCTCAGTTCATAACTTTCCTGTTGTTTTGTATAAGTGATCAGTTAAGCCTTTGAGTCTAGATCAGGGGTGTCAAACTCAAACTCACACGGGGCCGAAATGAAACTCTGGGACAGAGTCGAGGGCCAAACTTAATATTTTTTGAAGAAGTGATGGCAAATTTACACATTTTCTTTATCAACATATATGCAATTTTGAACCTTTAAATTTGGAAACAAACTTATTTCTGCATTAACACTGAATGTGGAATAACCAAATTACACACGAGCAAGTCAGTTACAAATAAAAGGCATCAGTGGTATTCATTAATTGTGGTATAATCAGCATTTTAAAAATCTATTCAGGATTTATGTTTTCTTGATTATTCATTTTTCTTATTTTTTATTCTCCTTTTTTTCTCCTGTCATACGTGTCATCGCTGCTGTGACTTCTAGCTTTCCCCACTGAGGAACAATAAAGGGATTTTCTATTCTATTCATCTATCTGCAGCCTTTCCACTTCCTGTTTACTGTAGGTTAAATCTTTTCTCACGTGCCAACAACAAAATAAAATATCATTTTATCTTAAATGAAAATGCAACATCTCACCTGTTAACTTTCATGTTTTGGAGCAGAAAAAGAGCATAAAACCAACATATTTAAAGCTCAGTTTGCTCCACTGGTTTACTGTGATGCTCACCTGTTCCAGCCAGATACCTGCATCATGGGGTTGATCTGAGCTGAGGAGGAGACTCCTGTTGTTTTGTTTATCTTCATCATAATAATGACAACATTAGATGACAACAGGTGCTCACATAGGTTTGTGCTGCTGAACATGTCTGAGCAGCTTGACCACGTTGTTGTGTGTCGGGGAGGAAACACAACGACAGCAGCCACAGAGTTGTGCTGGTTTGAGCGTGTCGCTGCTCGCTGGAGTTATATCAGCTCTTTCTGGAAGTTAGTTGGAAAACTTTCTCTTTCAGTCGTGAACACATTACTGAGCGGCTAGAATCTCCGTTTCTGGGCTTCAACGTCAGAAAATAGCTGAGTGAACTCAGCGCTGAGTGCGAGAAATGTTTAGTTTGTCCGAGACAGCGGAGCTGCAGACACCGGCAGCAGACGCTGGAAAAACACAAAGGAGGGGGCGCTTCGGCTCCGCGCTAACGCCGCAAAGCATCATGGGAGTTAAAGTCTTTGCGGTAAAATCGGCCAGCGGGCCACTTTTAATATATTTTTGATATTTATCTCGCGGGCCACATAAAAATGCTCCGCGGGCCGCATCTGGCCCGCAGGCCTTGAGTCTGACACATGTGGTCTAGAACGTAGGGTTGTGTTAGCAAAGACTGGGAATAAAGAGGAAATCAGACAATCAGAGTGGCATCAGGACACCAGCCCTTGGCAACTTTTTCCTTTCTGTTTTCCATCCGTTTTGTGGAATCTGTGGGGTGACTCAACGAAGAGCAAGGTAGAAACGTGAGGAAGTGGTAATGTTACAGATTATGCCCTCCACGCGGGTCCCGGGGTTAATGAAACTTCTGATGAGAAATGCAATTTGCCTTTGTCTATTATCTCCACTGCCAATAGCCTGTGCTCCACTGCCTCGCCGCCGCCTCTGTGGGTTTTTCCATAGGGTGCAGTGATTGGTGGAAAGCAAAAGGAGGGAGACGCGTCTAAAAAGATGATGAGTTTTTAATCTTTTTAACATTTACATGTCCTACTCAGGATTGACAAGGTCTCTGTCAATCTGGAATTGTCTCCGACCCTAACCAGCTTCCCTCAAGGACCCCAGACAGTGTTTATCATATCAGTACCTGTTCTGTGGCTGACCCCGTGGGCTCGCCAGCCATCTGAAGCCTCTCTTTGCAAAGCTAGAGAGGAAATGAAGAGTTGTCTGCGCTTGCCTGAACTTAGAGGACTTTGAAATTTTTACTTTTCATGGCACTCTTCAAGAGGGCCTGCTTTGAAAATGCAGATGAAAGCTACTGTAAGAGGGACTACTTGATTTTAGTGTCAAGGGCACAGTGCATTAAACACATTCTGTGTTGTATTTAAAGAGTTTCCTATACATGATTACATTTTGGGGACCCTACCTCGACACTGACATCCATGAGGTTTTTGAATTTCAAACTGGTGCTAAAACTACAAACACTTTAGGCAAAATAGTTGTTCCATGTTTAGATTATATTACTGGTGACTCGATATAGTGGCAGATCCTCCGTCAGGTGTTCAGGTTGTCTCTTCTGTCCTAGCACAGCTGTAATTAGTCTCTCCTCTGCAGTGAGATCAATGATACGTGTTAGTGCAGTCAAACATGATGGATATTATTCTTCCACACTCTGGACAGCATTCGACAGCAGTGTGTGCCTCTAAGGATGCACTCGAAAGTAGAAAGTAGTAACCCTTCATTTTGTTAGTTTTAGTGTTTCCAAACCCCTTATTTCCAAACATTTATCAGCTGTCGTGCTTCATAGGTGTTGTTATTGTTTGCTACAGAAAAGAAAATGGTCTATGTTACATAGAATTTCAATTTAGAGGAGGTTATATTTAAAACCAATCCATTGAATGTCAGTGGTCCAAGTTATTAAGCAATTTAATTGCTGTCATTTTAAAATGTATCGATAAGATTCAGAAAGCCCTGACTATCCCCGCAGGTGTGTTAGATGAGAGATCAACAGTGAACAGCTTTTAAACCACCAGTGTGTCTGAATGCAGAACCAGAGCATAGCTGATTAAAATAAATGACTTTGCATATTCCTGGTCTTGGTGTTTTCTCTTAGTGTTAATCTGATTTAGGTGTAATGAGGTTTCTGTGGCCTGCTGTTACCACGTTACCAGGTGATAATAGACTCTGACAATGGGGATTATCCCATCTAACTAATGTAGTGGGAGGCTAATCTTGACACACTCACACACTTTCCTCCTCCATCACTGCAGTGTTGCAGTGCACCGCATGCCACTTCAGTCTTCAGAGCACGTTTTTGGGGCTGGTGGCTGGCCGGCATCTTTACTTTCATGCTTAATTACCTGCTAAGATAGAACAGCGAGGACAAAGAGTCTACACGTATGTCGGCAGTGACATGATGTATGTAGTCAGGGTGGTGCTGAAGGTTTGATGTTAGGATAAAGGATGTGTGTATGACATTTTACTATTATTATTGTGTGTGTATGTGTGTGTGTGTGTGTGTGAATAATATAAGATATTCAGGGACACGTTAATCTTTCACACAACACATTTTTTAACTGTTCAGTTTGTTTTCTTCTAATGGGAAATGATTCATCATTCTTGACCAATCACATTTGAGGACCATGTAAAATATTTAGGCAAATAAGTATTTTCATTCTCTATATTCAACATTTTATAACAGCTTTGTTAATTTGTACATTTAGTAAACAAATCAAGTTTCACCACGCTGAACATCACTTTCTGAGATAATTGTATAATTTCAGTGTGGAATCATTATTTTTTGTCTTATTTTCTTTTATGTTTAGTTTTGTTTCTTTATGGCAGATTTTTCTTTGCAGATATTTTGAAGCATTTTTCTGCTTACTCAACCCAGTTCCCTTCATTCATCTGTTTGCTTTTGCTCCTGTTCTTGTTCTGTTTTTAGTGAATGAAGAGGCTCTGAGGAAGAAGATCACTGATGAGCTGAGTAAAGGCTTCGAGCAAGACAGGGCCAAGGCCAAGCAAGAGATGCAAGCATGGTAAAACACACACACACACACACACACACACGCACACGCACATGCGCACACACACACACACACACACACACAGAGAGAGAGAGAGAGTTTGATAAAAGTTCTGAACATAGCAAATGTGGGAAACATAGATTGAGAACTACAGAAGAAAAGACAGAGAAACGTAAAAATGAAGGAAAAAGAAGGTTTCAAAGTTTGATCAAAAGAAAGAGGACGAGGAGCTGACACAAGAAAGAATGCTAAGTCGCAGAGAGTGTCCAGAAAAGTAAAGAGCTGGTGCTTCATGACAAAGGGAGAAGTGATGGGTTGGTGTGAGAGTTCTTTTACCCTCATCCCATCTTCTCTCTCTTCCTTTTCTGTGTCGTTCTGCTCTGATGCCTCACAGAGAAGCAGTGGAGGCAAATCTGCTCTCTGCACCCGCATATTCCCACAAATTAGTTTAGGCTGCACCTAAATAAACTCTGAGCTCAGAGCCCCTACTTCACTTCTACCAGAGCAAAATATGCAAAGCCAGATCTCTGGAGTTCATTTATGGCAGTACAGCCAAACAGATGGAATCGTGCCTAATTGGAATTCCACAAATCCTCAAAATCCCAGAAATTTTTTACACAGCAATACTGAACAGGACAGACTGGACTCATCCTTTTCATTAACTGTTTTTGAAGCAAGGTGAAACAGGCAAACACGTGCAGCTGCAGTTGGGTTGTCGCTAGTAATGCATCTGTTTTCAGTTTATTCAATTTTGTCTGAAAACTTGTATAGAATTCCTTTTTAGTTTTTTACATAACACATGCTTAAATAAGAATAAAAAGTAAATATATATGTATTTAAGAAATGTCAACACTAGGAAATGTTTTGCACTTCATAAAACAGCTGTTAATAATGCAGTTACAAAAAGTCTTTGAAAGAGGAAAAATAAGTCAATAAACATATTTCTGGTTGTTAATTTCTCTCATCCTGAATGAACCTGAAAAAGTTGGTGGAGCACAACTTTCCCACCATGAGGAGAGAAAAAAGTTTTATTTCTCTCCAATCCAAAGTTACTGATCAGCTTGGACTGTTGGGATTTTACTGACGTGAATTCAAGAGAATCGGCCAAAAATAGTTTAGAGTTAAAAAGGCAGCAAAGAAGCCAGAGGGTGAAGGGTGACGGGAAAAATGTTCAAAAAGCAAAAATAAAGAGCATGCTTCTTCATCAGGCAGTGCTAATGGATCACCCCTCTGCATGCAGGAAATTATCTCAGCATTGTGCCCTCCTTACTAAGACATGATTAATTGATTGCAAGAGAGCAGGAGGACAGGAGGGCATCAGATAAAGAGGAAAAGGAAAAGTGCTGAGGTACTTCGGAAAAGATGTAAATTCAAAACAGTAGGGATCGGAAAGACGGATGTTGACCTTTTTGACTATTAATGGAAGAGAAAAGTGTTCACCTTAAAAAAAAGTCCTTAATTCGTTTAAAAAACCTGGAAAAAGACATAGACCTGACAGTTGTGTGGTGCCTGATTCTAACTGGAAGAAACAAAGAGGGAAGAGATGTCTAAAGGAACAGCCAAGATGTTTGGCTCCATACCAAAAATCTCTTTTTAAAATTTCTGTTACACAAGAAACATTCTGCAAAACAATCAAGATTGGATTGTTAACTCATTCACTGCCAGCCGTTTCCTGATCACTAACAGGCTTCGCTGCCAGCGTTTCTGACCGTTTTTACTGTTTTTTTTAAGAGTCACAGAACGTTGCGCGCTAGGATGATGTCGATGCCAAAACAACCAAGACAAAGAGGAGACTCACCTCTTACATCAGGAAGAGTCCGTGTGTTTCGAGCGTTATCCGTTCTTTCATAATCCGTTGTCGAATTGTGATCGGCAGACACTTTTCCGGTTTGCGCCGCACTTTTTTTACAGGAACGGCCCAAAACGATCTCCTAACACATGGATGTTTTGCTTCCTGATCATGTGATGTGTGACATATGCGGATGAAGATCGGCTTCAGGGCTGAGATGTTTGTTCTCTCAGCGCCGGGGCTCGTTCCGATGCTCAAACAGTAAAAAAATGTAAATGACGACTTTAGTCGTCATTGCCAGTGAATGAGTTAAAAGACCCTGTGTGTGTGTGTGTGTGTGTGTGTGTGTGTGTGTGTGCATGTGTGTGTGCGTGTGTGTGTGCGTGTGTGTGTGCGTGTGTGTGTGTGCCTGTGTTGAGTAACTCAAAGGTTAGCTGTTTTTGTGGAACTTCTGCCCGTTATTTCAGCATGTGGTTGGGCAGCCTGTGCTGGCTGCAGCTGTATGCCAGACTTCTGAGTGAGAACACTGACCTTCTCGCAGAGCTTCTGCGTTAACCAGCCACTCTGTTAAATGATTTACTGATCATATTGTGTTTGTTTTTATTTAAATGTATATAATTGTTACAGTAGTATTCACATTGTAATGCATATACTCAATCTACAGCTCAATTTTCATTAACAAAGAACTGTCTACACACACACACACACACACACACACACACACACACACACACACACACACACACACACACACTATGGAGTGATGGAAACAGCTAAATTATTAGTATTTAGGTTAAAACTTACATCAGAGAATGTGCATGAAATTTGAAAAATAATTTAGATTTACTTGCAGTTGCATCTTTTATTTCATGCTTCATGCTTTAGGTTATTTGAAAAGACAAGGTGATGGTGACAAAATCGTGAGGACAGACAAGAGATAAATGGGAAAATGATCAGGTCAGAAAAAGCCAGCCTCCTCTATATATGTCACAAGGAACATTTACATTCTGGGAGTTGCTCACCATGGCTTCCTACATGGGAAGGCGTTACTGACGTTGCTGCCAGGAGAGAGCAAAGCGTGTCTCGGCTTGTAGAAGCTAACCATTAGCATCTCCACAACATAGTGAAACAAGTCTGTGCTTAATATTTGTGGAGATAACACTTCAGTGTTGTAGTTTTTACCCAAGAAAGAATGACGAATGGAAGCAGCGTAAAAGTTGTGTTGTTGTTAGCCAATCAGAGTTGAGATGTTTGCTTATGAATATTGATGAGTAAGACTTGTAATCCAGTCATTCTTTTGATGCCTCCTTTTAAGCCATTCATACTAGACCACAGTAGATATTGAAACAATTAGTAAGTGAGACCTTCACCATAACTTTCTTCCACCATTTTATTAAAACTGCAGTCAGATAGGGTGTATGCATCTGTTCTTGTGTGCGCATACGTGTGTGGGAGAGACCATGCTTCCATAAAATATTCATAACCAACATTCTGAAACATTATTTCAACATCAATATTGCATCAGGCTCTAAATGCATTTGTTTCAAAGCACCTGGGTTTACCATTGTTATGCAGTTTGCCTGATATTTTAGTGTGTGCACATTTTGTGAAAATAAAAGGCTGTGTGTGTGTGTGTGTGTGTGTGTGTGTGTGTGTGTGTGTGTGTTTGGGGGGGAGGTGGGACGATGGGTATTAATTCAATGCCTTTTTTTAAGAATATTTTTACAAGTGTAGTAATTAATGTTCACCCCTTAAGGACTCGGGGGTGATGTTTTAATGGATTTTCCATTCGTAGGATTGACCATAGCTAATTATTTTTATCATGTCTGTAGTTACAGTTCAATAAATACCAGTGCTTGTTTTACTTGGCAATACTTTATGAAATAGGCAGAGTCTTTAGTGAGAGAACTTTCCTCTCTAATAAAGAAACACTTAACTGTTAATGAAATATGTAAACATAGATCACTTTTGCCTCAGTATAGATTTTGGCCATGGATAGGAGATAGTAATGTCTGTAAGTTATAAGTTGTGTTAAGGTGAGTAACAACCAACCAGACAACGTAAACAGTAAAAACCACACATATGCTCGGTTCCCCAGCAGTGTTGTCCAACACTGTGGCAGCAGAAGCTCAACAGGTTGAGCGGGTTGTTCAGTATATGGAAGGTTACAGGTTCGATCCCAGCTCTGGACAAAGAGTGCTGCTGTTGTGTCCTTGAGCAAGACACTTTCCCACCTCGTCCGCTGGTTGGACTTTGTCAGTGCGCCCCAGGCCACCTGTGGCTACAGTGTAGCTCATCACCATCAGTGTGTGAATGTGTGTGTGAATGGATGAATGATACTCTGTAGTGTAAAGTGCTTTGGAGTCCTGACTCTGAAAGGTGCTATACAAATGCGGGTCATTTATCAATAATGTAATATTGATAATGCTGAATGTGATTTTTCTAACTTCTAGCTGGAATAAATAGATTTCATTAGCCAAAACTCTAATTTTCTTTTAGATATGCAATTGGCTCTGGTAGATTATTGTTGTGCTCTTCTTTTTCACTAAACTATAGAAGTCCTTGTTAAAAATGTCTGTTCAAGGAAGAGCAAACAAGCAAAAGCATCTAAAGGTTTTCAGTTCCCACTTCCCAGGGTCATTTAATGCAGTTATAGCAAAATCAAGGTGGCCCTGAACAAAGTGCCAGGGTTGTGGTAAATTGGTAGTCATTTCCAACACCCAAATAAGCTTTCAAGCACTGAAAAGGTAATCTTTTTTATTTGTTCTCTCTTTGTGTACCTTTGTTTAAGTCACAGCTTTAAAGGAAGACACAATGAATTCAAACGTGTTCCGTTATAAACCAATCCTACTTCATTTTGTTTTTCCTTCTTTCTGTTTTAAGAATCAGCCCAACGATCAATTGCAACAACAGTTAATTAGCAAAGATTATCCTCTGCTACTCAAGCCAAGCCAGAAAACAACATTTGTCTATTCTCTAAAGGCGGGATACTTTTCCCTTCTCCGGCTTAGCTATTGTCTATTTCCTCCCTCTGTCTGACTCAACCATTCTCTGTGTCAAAACCCCCCTTCCCTCCCAGTGCCAATCTTCTACAGTCGAATGAAAAATGCGTTCAATATCCCAGAGACAGGGCAATAATGACTGGAAAGCAATAGAGGTGAAGCAGACAGATAGCATCTAGCTAGTGATAGCAGTCTTTGCTTGGGTTAGCACTTGTGAGGAAGTCTGTAGGTTTTTACCTTTGCTCTCCCCCTATATTTCCCCTCATTGTAGTTTTTTACTCTTGTGCGACTTTTTTCACAGAAAAGCAAAATGTATATTTTTAATTTAACTGTGTTTTGTTTTAAATGTTGCTGGATATCTTTAAGTGTCCCTTCCTGAAATTTTTGTTTTTCTCTTCTAGCCCAAAACCAATCATCCAAATCAGAACATTTCTATTACAGTAGGTTGTCATTGGGACATATGCACTGTTTTGGTGTTTACACATGCATTTTTCCATTGAGGAGATTCAGTAGCAAAGCATTCAGAGCATTTTTATGTGTCCAGACTTTCTTCTTGTTAGATAAAAATGCATTTGTTCCAATAAAAATGTCAAAAGACTGAATTTACTGCGTTTGCTGGCCCATCTAAGTACCATTAAATACTTTTCCAAGGGAAAAAAAATCATGTTTACTGTTCCTTTTCAGTTGTCATGATCGTGGCAATAGCTAGAGCTTCTTGAGTAAAGGCAGTTTAGATGCATTAGCCGTGCAGGCAGGGAGGCGTGGATTGTGGGGGAAATGGTGAATGTAAAAGGCCATTAGGAGGCTCCCCATGTGTCTCTCTCTTTGTGTGTGTGTGTGAGTGTGTGAGTCAGAGCCGGATGATGGATGGAGTGTGCTGACGTGTGCAGCCCAGTGGACTGTGAGACTGGACATGGCTGGTCTCTCTTCGTCTCCCACCATCTCTTTTCTCCCACTCTCTGCTTCACTTCCTCGGGGCCAAACATGTCATGTCGTACCGCTCACGCTCTCTACTTACTTTCACCATCTTGCTTTCTTTTTCTTTTCTCTTTCTCTTGTTCCCTTTGTTCCAAAACATTTAGTAACATTACAGGCAGATTTAAGACATCAGGCGTGCTTTGCAACTGTGGGCTAAATGTATGTAAGTGAACTGTTTTTGCTCATGTGTCAATCAGTAGTCATCGCTGCCCTTGCATTGTAATATTTTTTCAGGTGACTGAAAACATTTTCACTATTTTATTCCTTTAAAAGACAAAAATCTATCATTCAGTCTGATTATTGTGCTTGTATCTAACGCAGCAGAACTAGGAGTTAAAACCATGCTCATTATTCATGCCCACAGCAATATGTTTGGTAAATTATCATAATGAGCAATAGAGAAACCTGAGGAGGCTGTAAATGAGTCATAACTTGTGTTTTTATGGGTTCTGAATAAAAAATGATCCTTGGGTGGAATTCCTAATTCACATATCCGAGTGGAATGGGACACCTCATTGAGAGTGAAGGAATCTTGCATCCTGTCCATATATTTCCAGGAATCAAAATGTGTCATATGATCATTTAACATTGCCTGTCACTCTGGGGCATCATCAGTCTCATCAGCCGTATCTCTTATGAGCTTCCCACATCTTTCATAGGCAGGCATTTATGAAGATCCTTGCTGTCTTCATTCCGTCCGTCATAACTCACTCTGGTGCCCGCTTTCTGTACTGTGTTTATTCTACCTTACCGCGACTGTTTGATTTCTCACAGAAGATCACTTTTAGAGGTTTCAGGGATGTTCCGCCTCATTCAATCAAGCACACTGGGGATGTGTTGCTAGGCAACTATAAGAATCCAATGACAAGGTAGAAATGGTAGTACTGATTCTGCCGAGAATGCGCTGCAACTCTCTAAGCTGTTTCATATAACTGATTATTCCTATTGATGGATACATGTATCTGCTCTGTAATTATTTACAGATGCTTCTGACCAACAGTATTATACTGCCCCATTTCTAATGCACATCAGTGTACCTGTAAAATGTTGTACATTGATGCCTAGAACATAACCGCGTAGCAACGTCAGTAATAGAAAGGAACTAAAATGAATGATTAAACATGGTTGGATTATCATCTGATTCAGAATTTTGTTGATCTAAAACATTTTAAATTTGACAAAAATCAAAACATTTTAAAGTGCTTTCACAGTAGTACTGCGTTGTGACTGATGATGTCAAGGTGCAACATTACAATCTAATAGTTTCCCCTTGGTTACGCTGAGTTTGTTGAAATCAAAAGTTATTTAGCAGTTTTAGATATTATCTTATTGGAGTTTACTAATGATTTTATGCAGGTTTGATGCAGAGAAGGCTCGGACATCAGCACAAGCTCAGACCGCAGCCCAGTCACAAGTCCAGGCCGAAGTGTCCAGGATGCTGTCCGCAGAGCGGGCCGTGGCCCAAGAGAACTTCCAGCAGGCTGTCATAAGAGAGAGGATCACCACTGAGGATGAGATACTCCGAGCTCAGATTCTTGTAAGTGTTCTATCCAGAGTTTCCTAAATGACACCTTATGTGTGTGTCTTTGTGAGTATGCAAGCACATATGTTTGTGTTTATGTTGCACCTTTTTGAAAGTAACCAACATCAGTACCATCATCTTAGTGGATGCTTGCATAACTACTCTGGTTTTATTTTAGTGGCGTTGGTCGCAAAGGAGTTAAGTACCCTCCCCGTAACCGCAAGTTCACAGGTTCACACCCCGCTCAGGTTGTCTCGACTGTTACCCACACGCTGCCTGCTGGCAGTGGTTGGAGGGACCCAGCAGAGCCTGGTGTGTACGGCAGTCATGCCCCTGCCAGTTAGCCTCATATATTGTATTGTGGGGGGTTCTATATAGCCTGGCCTGCCGGACTCATCGTCTGTCTATTCTACACTGAGGACAAGTCTGGATGCTCAGAGGCAGAGAGCACCATGAGGGGCGGGACTAGTCAGCTCAAAAATAACCAATCAGAAAAAAGGCACTAAGGACGACTGTATTGCACGATGTAGTGGTTTTGTTTTAGCTCGAGTCAAAAATGGCGTCTGGCGATGGCGCAAACATCTTTCTTTAGAAGAAAGGCCTTTGGTGCTTCTTCTTGTTGAGGTTTTAAAGATGTGTCCAATTCATTTAGAACAGAGGAAAGAGCCACAGTGAAGTCCGCTTCAGACACCATCTTTGTTGCTTGTGAGGAACTGAGCATTGCGGTGTGTGACGTACGCTGCTCAGCGCTGATTGGCTTGGTTAGAATTCTTGGGGGGGGAGGGGGGGGGGTTATTTCAATGGGACCGTTACCAGGCCCTTGGCATCCAATAGCATTAGCAGAGTTGCAGAGTTTGGTTGGCATGGTGACAGACGTGTCTGCCGTGCAGCAACACTGTAAACTGTAATTCATAGAAATGCTCAGATGTTGTCAACGTTCACTGCCTAAATACTCGATAGACATGAGTGCTGCTTCTGTGTAATACAAAGGATTTTCACATTTCCATGTAACCATCCTAAAGCCATACAGTAGTAAACATCTCTCCACGGTCACTCAGCATTTCCTTAGTCTGAATCAGCTCCTGTTCATCCCTCTGTTGTAATGACAAATGCTCTCAATTTGGCCAGCTTATTCCCTGTAAATTGTGCTAGACGAGCATCCCGACCACACGCTGGCAGTTTATTGTTTACTAAAGAAAACACATTTTTGTGGAGTGCGGCTGCTGTTTACAAACCTACACTATTGATTATATAGCTCATTTCACACACACATATTGCCGTAATAGAAAAAAGAATAATTTTGTTGAGAGGGTATTCCTTGTCAGTGAGCAAGTTTATGAAGAAGCAGGGCTAACATCAGAAGAAGGAAAAAAAGAGCAGGGTGAGGGATGGCAGACTGATTCAATGTTATATCCTTCAGCATCAGAGAAGAAAATGGTTTCAATCATAGGCTGTCAGGACAGAAATCGGCCGACGTGAAATGAAGGTGGTTTGTAGACTTCTTGTATGACGGTGGACATTTGATTGTGCACCTGCCTTCGTGTCACAGAATGTTCTTGTAGATATCATGGCTTGCATCTCCCTAAAGTTCTAATTCTCTGAACTTCTTCCTCCCATAAGCTTTGAAGGCATTTCTTGTAACCCTAAGGCCAACTCCGGGGCATCAGCCACCTTCAAAACTACATACAACGAAAGTCTGCATTTGCTTTTCATCCAGACCTATACACTTACACATGCTTCAATAAATGTGCGTAACATACATTTTCTGCTAAATCCAGTTGTTATTTGTTTGTTCCATTCTTCTACAAATGTCAGAATGCATCTAAAAGTTTATTGTCAGAGGATTTAGCTGTTAAAACACACACACACACACACACACACACACACACACACACACACACACACACACACACACACACACACACACACACACACACACACACACACACACACACACACGGTAAGTGTGTGTAATAATTTCTTCCATATGAATGTTCTTTGGAGTGCAGAAGTTTTAATAGAATCCGACGGGTTATCAGTGAAGGTGCAGTGCAGTTTGCAGCACTCTTGTAATTGTCGAGTCACTCTTCCACGCAGCCAATGTTCTTTTCAACTGGAAATTGACTTTTTGCATTTTTTAAAGACAGCCTCTCACCCTTTGTCATTTCACTCTGTGTTCATCAGACTCAGATTTTCTGCCACCCATGGCGAGCTCAGCTTTGATGAAACCTAAAATGTGTTTGTCTGTGTGTGTCTCCATCTGCTGCTTTCTATCCTTTTTCTGCCCCTTTTTATTTGGTGGTGAACTTCATTTATTGATGCAGAAATAGGACATAAAAACAACTTCCTAGATAATTAACTCCGCATGAGAATGTTGACCTTTTTTCGCTCATTTTCATTGGGTTGCTTTTAACAACCCGTCTCTTCAAAGTACATAAGCACCTCTGCACTGGTCACCCAGCAAATTAAATAAACATTATTGTAAAGCACATGAGCACCAGTAATTGGAAGGTGGAAGTAGTTTTGATTGCTAGGCAAAGTCAATAAGGTGATCGAGTAAGAGCTCCAGGGAGAAGTTATGGCTTGCTGTACTAAGCACATAATCTGGTGGCCGATGGAGCTTAAAGGGTGATTTGTGTAATTATTTTTCAAGCATCTCATGTTTTAGAGGCTTAACTCATTTATTTTGATCGATCAGTACATCGAAAAATCTGTGTATTTATGTGGTTAACTCTTTTCTTAGCTTATATCAAACCAAAGCATTTGTTTACATACATTAACTACCTTTTGTATGCTAGTTAAAGCATTTTAATATAGTATAGTTTGAGAACACAGTTGCTTTATGGTTTTCCTTTGCGTCAAAGTGTCCTAAACTCAAAACCGCATTTATATTGTTTTAAGTATAGACAGCTTGGGGTGTCTAGTGTACCATGCCTAAGAGTCAGTGCCATCTCTGCCCTGCTTTTCTAAATTAGTAACTTAGTAATGTCCACAGAGAAACGGTTTCATGTGAGAAAAGCTGGTTTAATGCATCTTAAGCATACACACACCCTTAAATTTGCATGTCCCAACGCATTTCAGTGTTGGCTGTCTATAAATGTTGGTTGAAGTAATGCCAGTCGATGTACTACTGCTAAAGTCTAATTTATATTTCACAATCAGCTCGGGTGCAGACTCGCACACATGCGTTGAGAGAGACGTTTTACTTTCAGACGTATTTTCTGCTATATAAGTTTAATAATAATAATAATAATAATATATTATTATTATTATTATTATTATTATTATCTGTGGCCTGGGGAGTGTTGCGAAGCAACTCCACTCCAGGACAACCAGGGGCGTAGCAGTTTTTCAGAGGAGGTCCTGCTCCATTTGGAGTCATGTCTTTGCTCAACGAGTGCATTAACTTTTGTGTATTTGCATTAATATTGTGTAAACGTTTTTCAGAGACTTTTTTAAACATAGATGAATTTGTCCCTCATTTTCCTATAAAAGCAACTTCTCTCGTTCATGATTACGTGCCTCTAGCTGGCCAACCCACAGCTAACCCACATTATTTTTTTTACTGTTATCATTATCACGTTGGGTATAAACATATATATTTATTTATTTAAGACTCACTTTTCCATGAGAGAGCTTGCCAACTCTGAATCTGTCTAGGTACGTCCTCAAGCGTTGATGCTCTGTGATTGACATCTGTGCAGATGTGGATGTGCAACGCTATTGGCTAATGCTGAATGATGCTCAATTCAAGTTGCATGTGGCTCTACGATCTGGGGGATGTATTGCCTACGTTATATCACTGTACATGGTAAGACTGTCACTTTTATGGATTAAAAGAAATCATACATTATTGCTGAAAGGGGTTAAACTTCCAATTGTAGCTTTAATGTATGAATGTGTGCATGTGTGAATAAAGGAAATGACTTTATGTGCCTTGAAAAGCACTGTAGCAATTTCATCTATTAAAATAATAATATTAATAATAATAATGATCATTATTATTGGGCAGCAGTAGCTCAACAGGTTGAGCAGGTTGTCCAGTAATCGGAAGGTTGCAGGTTCGATCCCAGCTCCGGACAGAGAATTCTGCTGTTGTGTCCTTGGGCAAGACACTTAACCCACCTTGCCTGCTGGTGGTGGTCGGAGGGACCGGTGGCACCTGTGCTCGGCAGTCTCGCCTCTGTCAGTGTGCCCCAGGGCAGCTGTGGCTACATCGTAGCTCATCACCATCAGTGTGTGAATGTGTGTGTGAATGGATGAATGATACACTGTAGTGTAAAGCGCTTTGGAGTCCTTACTCTGAGAGGCGCTATACAAGTGCGGGTCATTTATCATTTATCATTATAATCATGCAATAATGTCATTCTTCAGTATTCTTCCCTGGCATTAAAAAAATATTAATTTGAGATTAATCCTATATAAAAAGAGCAAGGAAATGAAAACATTACTCAAAACAAAAGCTAAGAAAAGTTCACTGTTGCAGCAAGTGAATGTATTAAAAAAGAAAAGTCCGTATTAAATCAGAAAATGAATGGCACTAATTGAGATGAACCCTGCTTTCATGTTTATTGTGACAGAAAAATACCCCTCTATCTATTGCAGCTGTGCTCGTGTTCTTCCAGCATGGCATTGATTTGTCCCCCTCATTAAGATACAGGTCACGGTGAGTGGTGGGACCCCATACATTCCCTTCCTCCTTCACTCACAACGAGAGCGAGGTCTATGAGTAGTTATGCTTCCCCACGCTCACCTATAATAGCCATAACCTTCACAACCACGGCTGCACCAATTACAGGGACATGCATTTGAGAGATTTGCCCCAAGACATTGGCTTAGACCAAGATTGGGTATCATTTAGGGTTTATTGATTTAGTTTCTGGTTATTTTAGTTTAAATTGTGATGTCTGTTGTATTGTAGAAGCAACGATTATATCAATAAGTGTCATGTTATAAATGCAACTGTAAGATATCTCAGAAAGTTGTTGAAAGTTGTGAAAAAAATAGTGTTTTAG